AAAAGAAAGAAAGAAGGGAAAGAAGGAAGGAAGGAAGGAAAGAAGGAAGGAAGGAAGGAAGGAAGGAAGGAAGGAAGGAAGGAAGGAAGAGAAAGCAGAGGCCAGATCCTACCTGTATAAACTGAGCAGGTGGGTCTGGATGCTATTCACAGACAGGACAGCAAATCCACAGGCCTAGAATAAGAGGCCATGCCAGCAAACACTACTGCCCACAGTGGGAGAGAGGAAAACTGCACCCTACCCCAACAGTCTCCCAGAAACAACCACAGTGTTGGCACATGGCCAACCAGCAGGATGCAGGGACCTTCCTATGTGCCACCAGAAGTAGCATCCCCAAATGCAATCTGTGGGAAAGAAAGTGGACCGGAGAGCTGGGTCACCCGGGTGATGTGATGGGTATTTTCGTGGCACTCCGAGGAGGAGCACCGGAAGGGCAGTGACAACACAGTCAAGGGCCAGCCTTGTCCCCACCCGTGCTGGTCACCTGCCCCCAGCCAGCAGCAGAGTCGATCCAGATGGCTGAACGTGAAGTTTGTGACCAGGTTCCAGGTCCACTGCTGTGACTCCTGGTGTGTGTAGATCAATTTAAGCACCAGGTTTTGATCTTTTCCAGCTGGTTTGTCTGGCCTGCGCCAGGTAGGGCAGGGGACGCTGTCTTCTTCCCTCCTTCTGACAAAGCATTTCCCCTGCAAGTGTGTGGCCAAGCTTTGGAAAGATTGCCTTTTCGGGAACTCTCAGAAGGTGACCTGGCCTCTCTTTGGGCAACAATGGGGTCTCTGTCCCGGGTCCCCATGTTCTGATTACCTCAGGTATTATTTCTCCCTTTTACAGATGAGGAAGCTAAAGCTGGACCCAGGTGACCTAAGGGCTCACCTCATACCATGAATGGCCCTGGCTCCTGTGTAGTGATCCATACCATGTCTAGGTTGAGCTGGAGCCATTGGGGTGACTGCCCCCACGTGGGTACCAGGTAGTGTGTGGTGTTCAGGTCTGTTCTGAGTTCTTAGGTGATGGAGGAAGCTCATTGTTTTCAGTTAGTCCTTTTGCTAAAGAGAGAAGAGAGAAGCTGTACAGGTCACATGATAGTGCAGCTGGAAGTGGCGGAGTAAGGACAAAACCCCGGGAAAGCGAGCAGCTGCTGCCATCCGGTGGTCATCTTGGGTAGTGGTCATGAATTGAAGGGCTTGGTGGCTCAGCAAAGTAGTTGTTATCTGGTGGCTGGTCCTTTTTCTTTTCTTTTTCTTTCTTTCTTTCCTTTTTTTTTTTTTTTAAATAATGACTCCACAGCCATTTGAAATGAATGTTTATTCTGTTTATAGGCTATTTGCATGTCCACTAAACCAATAAGTTTTTTATTGTTACATTAATCAAACCTACTATATTCACACATGCACATACAGACACACATGTGCATGTGTGCATGTGTATGTACATATTTATGTATATTTTATCTAGTTGGTGTGGAGGTGAGGAGGCACAGAACCTCCCATTTAAAGTTGTGAATTCTCCATTTTTTCACATTCCCATTTCTCTTATCTTCATTAAAAAGTAAAAGTCATCTCCTTTCTTTTTGCATTTGTTTGTTTTATGGGTGGGAGTCCCACAGTGCACGTGTGGAGGTCAGACACCTCTCCTCTCACCATGTGGGTCTCAGGGATGGAACTCAGTTCCTCCGTCCTGGAGGCGGGAGCCTCTGCCCACTGAGCCCCTGCCCTCCTTTAGTTCTGAGAGCGCTTACATTGGGATGAACTTCTAGGTCTGAGCTTGTCCCCGTCCTTTAAAGACGTCACTCCACTCTTCTTCCTGACTTTGTTTCCAACAAGAAATGGCTCTTATCTTCTTTGTTCCCAAGTACATACTGGGGGTTTTGTTGTTGTTGTTGAGATGGTGGTGGTGTGTGTGTGTGTGCATGCGTGTGTATGTGTATGCTTGTGTGCATGCATATATGTGTATGCACCTGTGTGTGCATGCATGTGCATATATATGTGTGTGTGTTGTGCATAGGTATGTGATATGTGTGTGTTGTTTGCATGCATGTGTGGAGTATGTACACAGGTGCATGCAGGGAGTCCACAGTGTGCATTGGGTGTATTCCTCCATCACCTCCATCTTTATTTTTGAGACACTGAACCAGGAGCTCATAGACTCAGCGAGGCTGCTATGAGTCTCCACCTCCTAGCACTGGGGCTACAGAGGTATACTGTCACCTTGGATTTTAGTGTATGTGCCGGGGCTTGAACTCAGATCTTAGTGCTTGCCTGGCAGACACTTCACCACTGAGCCCTCTCCCTAGCACACCGATTCATTTTTCATAGTTATTTTTATCTTTTATGATTTGGAAGCTATATAGTCTTTTAGAAAAAAATCATCTTTAAATTTTTATGTTACTTCTAAGCTAATCATTACCATGGACTCATGTTTGTGCTTCCTAAACTTATAGGTTGAGGTGAATTAATGCAATGCTCTTCTAACCATTTAAAAACTGAAATAATGTATTAAACCTCTCTTTTCAATGAGAAATTTAGCATGTTTTACCTCTATTCTCCTCTGAGTTATTATTTATATTTACTCCAATAACTATTTTTAAAACATTTGCGTTTGGTTTGTAGATGAGACATTAACCTTAGGGTGTATATTTAATTACTCACTAACTTGTTGTAATTACTGGGTTATTTATACTGATTTTCCAATCATGTTAGTCCCAGCCACAGGTATTCTTAGGTGGCTCTGGGACTCATGACTATACCTATCTTATGTTTTTCTCAGTCTGCTTTAAAACATGGTAGATATCTCAATCAAAGGCTTAGTGAGATGCCGTAGACCCTAGCTCCCAGCTTGCACTGGAGATGCCTCATCACCTTTCATGTTTCTAGTAAGTGGGGGGCACTCTGCTCCCCCTTCTGCATGTCTAGTAACTTCAGGGGAAACATGAGGAGGACACGGCTCCAATCACCGTCTTTAAATATTTTATTATTTGTAAATTCTGTGTGCATGGGTACCTGCACATGAAGGCAGGTACCCACAGAAGGCAGAAGAGGGCATTGTATCCCCGGAGCTGGAGTTACAGGCAATTGGGAGCTACCTGATGTGGGTCTGGGAACCCAATCTGAGTCCTCTGAAGGAGGAGAACGTGCTCTCCGCCACACAGCCATCTCCCTGGCCCTGCTATCATCCTTAAGCCACAGCAAAGGGGAACAGAAATAAATGCCCAGGTGTCTTGCCTGCTCAGGGTGATTTCAGCAAAGGTGCAGGACAGCTTTGGATCAGGAGGGGCTTGGGTGTCCTTCCTCTCAGGTCCATAAGGAGCTGGTGGAGGGGAGACACCCAAATGGCAACAGAGGAAGATGGGACTCTGGCTGTGGTGCTGGGTGTAGGATAGACCTGCCTAGAGTAGAGGCCTGGGCTGAGGGCAGAGCATCTTTTGTGGAGCATAACTTGGGGTCCTGGGACCATTGGTGTAGTGGGAACAAGGTTTTTTGCACTTGGGCTTCACCAGGTGTGAACTTAAGGCCTCGCAAGTCCCCTTGTTCAGAGCCCATGGCCTCATCTGTAAATAGCTGTAGAATTGACCTTTGGCTTCTGGAGCTAAAATTGTACAGATGGTCTGTACAATATGCTCACAATACCTTGTGTCTATGTGTATGGATGCTTAGTAAGGGCTAGGTAATTCGCATCCTCCTCTGGTGTGGGGTGGCGTTCATGCATGTGTGTGTGTGTGTGTGTGTGTGTGTGTGTGTGTGTGTAGTACAGAGGTTGACATCAGGCATATTCCTCAATCACTTTCTACTTTTCTTCTTCTTCTTCTTCTTCTTCTTCTTCTTCTTCTTCTTCTTCTTCTTCTTCTTCTTCTTCTTCTTCTTCTTCTTCTTCTTCTTCTTCTTCTTCTTCTTCTTCTTCTTCTTCTTCTTCTTCTTCTTCTTCTTCTTCTTCTTCTTCTTCCTTTTTTGAGACAGTGCCTCTCACTGAACCTGGAGCTCACTGGCCAGTGAGCCCCAATAATCCATCTCTTCCTTCCCAATGCTAGGGTTTCAGGTACAGCCAGCCATACTCAGGTCCTTGTTCTTGTATGGTGAACACTTTACCAACTGAGCCATCTCTGCAGTTTGTTGGCAGAGGCATGCTTGTTCATTCCTGGTCACCCAGATTTGAAATAACCACACAGAAACTGTATTAATTAAATCACTGCTTGGCCGCTAGCTTCTTATTGGCTAGCTCTTACATCTTAACCCATTTCTACTATTTTAAATTTTACCATGAGGCTTGTGGCCTACTGGCAAGGTTCCACCTGGCAGCTCACGTCTTTCGCCTCTTGTAGCTACATGGCATCTCCCTGACTCTGCCTACTTTCTCCCAGCATTCAGTTTAGTTTTCTCGCCTAGTTCTACTCCGCCCTATCACAGGCCAAAGATGCTTCATTATTCATTAACCAACAAAAGCAACACATGTACAGAAGGACCTCCCACGTCACCAGTTCCTTCTGTACATTTTTTAAAATACAGAGGTAGGAGAGGACAGAAGGAGCTTTTCCTCTTCCACTCTCCACCCCAAGCTCACACCCTTTCCTCTTCTGGAGTGACTTCTCTCTCCCAAGCTGCTGCCAGTGTAACAGCTGCCTCCATTCCGGCCTCCACACCTGCAAATGCAGGGATAGCCTTCTCTGTTGTGCCTCTCTTATCTGCTGCAATACAGCCTCCACAGCTGTGCTGGCCCCACCCAGTCTCTCTCTGTGCAGAGGGCTCTGCTTCTTGACCTTCCCTCACCAGAACTCAGCAAAACCATGTTTATCTTTCTGCATGTGAAAAAGGCTAAAGTTCCCTGTGTGATCCACATTTCTATATGTGGGCCCCCTTTCTGACTTCCACCTCCCCAGGAGCACCAAGTAGCCGACAGAGATGGGTCACACACATTGGGAAGTCAAGCACATCTGGTTTACTAGGGTAAGGTCTGCAGGTGAAATAACAGCACACACAGAGAAACCCATGGGCAGGGTCCACCCCAAACACAGTCAGATACCAAAGCAGAAAAAGGCCTTTGGAAAGTTCTCATGAAAATCAAAGGGAAGCTTTGTTGCTCATAGATTCAAACAGAAAACCATATAAAACCAACCCATAAATATATATTATATATGTATATTATATATATATAAAATTGCAAAATAAAACCCAAGAGCCTAACCATCCAACTGCACATCAGTGGCTCAATGTGTTATCATAGAGAAAGGCAGAACCGTTTGTGGGGATGATGTATGATCTTGGGGGAGGGCGGCATGTCACAGCACAGTGTTACATGGAATCCCTCTTCAAAACCTCAAAGTACTAGGAAAAGCCAAACACAGACAGCCTATATACAAGGGAAGACAATAAGTCATATTCTCATGTGACGATTGTCCAACAGACATTTCACCACCACCACCCACACATCACTCACGAGACACCGCACTCCCTGGCCATCCTGGGTTCCTGGGACCCTGCACCCCCTGGGTCCTGCTAGGTGCCTGTTTCACCCACTTTGTTTAACCCTTGGACTCGGGACCTTTAGCAATTCAAGGAATTTACAGACAGGGCAGTCTTGTGCTATGAGTCACCAACCACAGTAAGACCCACAGACACAAGATGGCACTGACATGGGGGTCTGGAGCTTCCCCAAATGTATTGTCATCATATAAGGTTCTGAGACATTTCCCAAGTGAGACCCCCTGACTTAGGTCCAGCTGCCACTTTGATTCATGTTAAAGGGGCCACAGGTTGGTTTTCAGGAAAGAAGAGTTTAGGTCCTTCCCAACATTTCTTGAGTTCTGGTGATGTCATCTCTGCCCAAGAGACAAGGGAAGTATCCTCAGGGTCCAGCCTCACCAGGTGCTTGGGACAGAGAGGGTGAGGAAGGAGCTGGGGGCCCAAGGAAGATTCTGCCTTATCAGGCACCTGGGCCCTCCCGGCATCGTGAACCTCCTTTATCTCTGGCCCCAAGTCTTCAAGGGGATGACTCAACTTGTGGGAGAATCCTGATGACAACTGCCACAAGTGTCAATTTGGCAAATCCTAATGTCACCCATATGTGAAGGAGGTAGGAAAAGACTTCCATACTTTCTAGGGACATCCAGCACTGAGTCTTGCTAACTGTCCCCATGGAAAGCAGCCCTCAAGGGCACTGCCAGGGCAGAGACAAGGAAAGGTGCTTTGTCCGCTGAAGGATATCCCACTGTGTGAAATCCCCACAGACTAGGTGGCTTCCCCAGTGAGGGCAGAGGGGGTCAAGAGCCTTGGGAACAGAGCTCTCTATGTGGCCTCATTTCTGACAGGAAGAGCACCGCATCCTGGTTGGACAGGGCTCTGGGACGCAGTCCCACACAGACACAGTCACTGTGGCTGCCTTTTCACATTGGAGGAAGAGGATGTGCACAGAGAAAACAAATGGACGTGTTCGAGAACTTCAGTTGCCTCTGGCCTTTTGTTCTCTATGAACTCACATGTTTCAGACCACTCGTGGCGCAGGCATGATGTCCTATTACATGTCCTGTAAGCTGTGAGGTGTCCTGTCCTGTCCACGGGCGTGGAGGGCAGATGTCTAGCATTACACTCAGGTCTCACAGTTTCTGAATTATATGGGGGGCGGGTCATAGAGAGTTTAATTGGTCTTAGTGGCAAGAAATGCAAGAAGCCTTAGGCCCTCTCTGGCCACAGTGGATGGTAACTATGCCAAGAGCCAGGGTATCTGTGGGGCCACATGTGTAAAATGAGCAAGGGATGAATGAGTGTTTCAATAGTCCCTTTCAGCTGTCAGGAACTCATAACCTTTGGCCTAGAACTAAGACATAAAACTAACACTTATGAAAAGGCCTGGCACAGTGGCCTCCACAGGGTATGTCCTGTCCCTAAGCAAACATAGGTCTAACTTGGACACTCAGGGGTGAACGGTTCTTTCAGAGCCATTACATTTTCTGCTCACACCAACAGGAGCTGTGGCCCTGTTGTCACAAGGCTAGACGCCCGCCATCTTCCATGTTGTCATCCCATAGGGGCTAGGTTTAGGTATGTCTATGACTGGAGGGCTCAGAACAGTGCCTTACCATGGGTTTGTGAGAGACTTGTGGTCCTCAACCATGTCCCTCACATCCTCTGTCCACAGAGCAAGGACTTCACACTCATTACCAAGTAGCAGCTGACCCTTGTCATGGCTCAAGAAGGACCAGACCTTGGGTCAGCTGATAAGAGCCCAGATGCAGGCTGGAGCCAGAGTATCTCTGGGCAGGTCTCCCTCCCTCTCCAGTTTGGGGGATGGTCACACAAAATGGGTAGCCCTCACAGATCACAACCGTTCCCAGTGTGTGACATCACAGGAGCTAGGGTCGCCTCTCTCTGTCCTAGTCCTATGCACCTGTATGTGGAAACAGGTCAAGAAGCAGCTTTGTTTTTCTCATCAGCTGGTCACACGGTAGCACCAACACTCCTCTCAGGAGCAATTCCAGTGGCTCAGTGAGAAACAAGCTGATGCCCGGTCAGCTCTGAGCTTACAAACACCCCTTCTCATCAGCGAACCTTGAATCAACTCTGACACAGAGCCAGAGAAATGCCCTGTCTGGCCTGCACAGCTGTGTCTACAGTCTCAGAGCTGTGCACGTCACATCCTTTATGTACAAGAAGGAAATCGACAAAATGTCTTTATACTCCCATGATCTCATCCCAAAGCAAAATAGGGCCCGGGGCTGTGAACCTAGCATCATTAGCTCGCTAAAGACTTCAGGGCTTTTCCCCAAGAATTCCGTGAAAGGAATTCTGAGCTAGGAACCCTCTGCAGCAGTGAGGAGAACACAGCACGAGGTCAGCCAGCAGTCTCACACACACTCTCCACGCGGCCACGGAAGGGACTCTCCAGTGCACTTCTATTAACGATTCTACCCTAATTAGTAGTCCTCATGCCCAGGACACGGTCAAATTCAGATCTCCCACACTGTCTACAAGTCTCCCTATGACCCGGCCTTGCCCACCTGGGATGTGACCACTTCTGTCACCTTTCACGTAACACTATGACAGTACCAAGAGGCCCAGAAAGACAGGATGTGGAATCCCATGCTCCCGCATCTGTCCACCTCTGCTGACTTACCCCCCAAAAGTTCCTCTCATTTTAAAACTAATACAGCCATCAATTTTCCCGAAGGCTTCCCCGTGCCCATCACAGGACAGTCACTGCTGTCCTGGCTCTCTGCATACCCTGCCTGCTCTGTAACTTGTCTGCATGTCTCAGATGCTCATAGATGCGTGTTTTCTGAACATACAAGGAATAAACAGATGGGCGAGTATGAGCTAAACCATGACTTTGACTCCAATATGACACTACAGCAAAGCTCCGACATTTTAACCTTAGCAAACCTCACTGTCATAAAGATAAAAAAGGGAGCATGTCGGGCAGAGACAACAGACTTCATCCTGAGCACCAGCTCACACAAGCGCCACCTCTGCGGGGTCGATGCCTCTCATCATTTTTTTTTAAGTGTCTCACATGAGTGGATGGTTAATGACTATTCAGAGAAAATGAATGAATGTGAAAATTATTTCTAAGAAGGCAGCTCCTATAGGAAGATAGAAGCTTCTGAGCATTCAGGCAGGGGCACTGGGTTGTCTATAATTAGACTTGACCCAGCCAGAAAGCAGAGCAAACACAGGACCTGGGCAGTAACCACAGTTCGGCACTAGGTTCTCAGATCTGCTCAAGAGACGACAGCCAAGGGTGGTGGGATTTCCTGCTGCAGCCATAGGGTTCAGCTCTCTGTGTTCAAAGGCATAGATCTTACCACTACCCCTGGTCAGCAGGAGCTGACCGCATCACTTAGGTGGACAACAGGTGATCTAACATCATCGCAAGTGCTAAAGCCACACAGCCAAGACCAGTTGCAGAAATGGCTAATGGGTCAAAGCCACTGTCCACTCACCGCAGCTTGGAAGAGCCAGCACTCGGCTCAGACTGACCTGGGTTCAAACCCAGCCTTCAGGTCTTGCTCGGCAAGTCAGTTATCCCTGAAGGGGTTCAGTTTTCTTTCAGAAAAAGGGAGGAGTCGGGACGACAGAGGGTAAAGCCTGTGTGGTGTCTGTAGACAGCAGGTGTGCAAAGTGAAAATGATGAGTCAAGGGATGTCAAAAATACCTTTACAGTAATCGGGACGAAAAGGAGAAGTGCTCCTTCAAGATGCTGTGCTTTAAGGAAGATGGATTGTCTTAGAGCCAGAGTGCTCGTCAGCCAACAGGATTCCTTGGGAGGATATGAAAAACCAGTGTTGACTTTTAACATAACAGCTGTACCTATCACCAAGTCTGGGTTGCAAGAGTGAAGGGGTTAGGAATGCCAGGCGTGTCTCTGAGAGTTAGTGAGAGAATCTGACTGTCCTCTGCTGCACCTTCTGTGACTCAGAGTTGGGACCCAAAGAACCAAGGTCAAGATGCCAAGAGTAAGATGCTCTGGTCTATGGGCAAGGGCTCTTGGGCATTTGGGAAGGCCAAAGGACACATGACTGCCGGGTGCAGCCCTGCATATTATACAAAACCAAAGCGGCATTTGACCTTCCTCGCATAACTCAATGCCAGCACAAGGATTTAGATGCCCTTGAGTTCCTGCCCTATGCATGAGACTTTTTCTTATGTTACAGTTGGGTTTAATTTTGCAGCCCATGAGATGCACAATATAGACAGGCCAGGATCCTAGCTCTTAGATTGATGGCTCTCTGTCCACTCGTTAAGCTGACTAGGCTTGCCTTCTATCTGTCAGATCTTAGGGTTCTTCCATCCATCACTCAATGGGTTCCATGTCAAAAGCTCAGGATTAGTGTTTGGAAAAGTACAAGCTAAGCCATCAGCCTGGGGATAGAAGATTAATTTCTGTTGGGAGGAGGGGGAGCAGGTCAGTTTGCCTGGTTACTTTGAGCAGGGGGAAGGGACCCAAAATGGAAGAGAAGAAGCATGGCTTCTTGCTGTGGAGACAGCTCCATCAACAAGAGGCAGGTGTCCTGGGAAGAGATGGAGTTTACTCAGAGGAAGCCTTGGCCTGCGAGCATTTGTAACCATGCCTAGTGCTCGGCTTTCCTGCCCTGGGCTCAGGCTGGCAGGCGGTGTCCTGACAAAGGCAGCCCAGGACTAGGCAGTGTTAAACGGAGGACAGAGCACGACCATGGGAGTCAGGAAGCTCAACTTTAGGGCAGGCTCTGCCACCAACCAACTGTGATTGTGGGCAAGACACCTGGCTGCTCTGGGAAGGCTGGCTCTAAGCTCCCCTCTGAGTGTGATCCCAGGTCCTTCTCTGTCCCTTGTTGGCCCTGTGCTCCAGGGGCAGAGTTGGAAGAAGGGCAGGGAAGAAGGGCAGGGATGCAGCAGGAGCCACAGATCAAGATTCCACCTTCTCCTTCTTCTTGCTCTTCTTCAGGAAGGAGGGCGTTCGGAATTTCTTTTTCTTTTTGGAGGGTGATTTGGAGGGCGAGCCCTCTGGGGACAAGGGGCCACTCGTAACTGACTCGGTTTTGTCCTTGTAGCTGTCACCATCAGTGTCAGCATTGGTGGTCATCTGGCCCAGTCCTTTGCTGAGGACCTCTTCTGCACTTGGCTCCTCCTCCTTCCCGTTCACCACGACCCCTTCCTGTTTTGTTGGCTCAGGTTCCGTGGTGGCTTCGCTGTCTTCTGTCTTCTTGGCATCTAGGAAAAGATCAGAAGACCCAGATTGTAAGATTTCATGAAGGCGAGTGTTCAAGGGGTCAACAGAACCACTTCTAGGGGAGGTCTGGAGTCAAGGGTGGGCAGGCTGGCATGGGGTGGGAGCAAGGGTCCTGGAACAGAGGAGGGGTGGCATTCTCACCTTACACCACCTGCCTTGGGGAACACAGCCTGGGCAGGCGATGCTCTGGGTTCTTGTCTACATATGGAAACACATGTTGGTTTCTGAACAAGCACTTAATTAATTCAGGCATTGAATGAGAATGAGGCAGCACACCCAAGGGAGGAGAGAAGCTGTGGGCTGCATGTCCTAGTCATCTCGGTGCAAGCCTTGTGATAAGCAGCCCAGCTGCACCAATCAAAACATGATGATCACAGGTCTTCATACCTTCATAGCATCAGGGAACATAGGGAACCAGTGTCTTCCCAGGGGAAGGAGAGGAGAAACAGGAGGGATCCAGCATTTCCATAATACACTCAACAGTCCGAAGGGGTCCTTTCATTCTAGTGGCTGCCAAGGCTCAGGATCACTAGGCTCCAAACTCAAAGGCAGCATGCTTAGCCCCAGGTACTAAGGTCCCTTGCTGTCTCTTCTCCCCAACTATGTAGGTTTTGAAACCTCTGTGTAAAGAGGAAGGAGGGGAACTATAATGCCGCAGACACTGAAATGGAGAAAGTGACTTAAAGACTGTCTGGCTCCCTCCTCCCCATTTCACAGCTCAGAATGGGAGAGGCAAACAGTGCAGGATCAGGTCCTGGCTTCTGCCTCCACATGTTTTCCATCCATGGGTGAGAGGCTTGTTGGTGTGTGGACAAGTGTGCTGTGTCTGCTCAGCGTAACTGGGAGGTGTGTGAGAGGTGAGCATTTGAGTGTGGTGTAGATTCTGTGTATATGCATGTGTATGGTGTGTGTGTGTGTGTGTGTGTGTGTGTGTGGTGGGATTCTGGGTACCTTTGAGCATGAGCATCACCATCAGAAGGACTGGCACATGCTCTGCTATATGGGAATGGGAACAATAGGGGAAGAGGACACTGTGCTGCAGAGGTAGAGTCCACTCTGCAGAGTGACTTGTGACTACAGTCTGTGTGGATGGGGTGAGCTTGGGGCAGTCAGAACAGGCTGGCTCAACAACCTGGCAAGCTCTTACAGTGAGGCCTTTCATTCCTTCTCAATCCATCATGCCAAAGTTCTTTCCAGACCCGCCTGAGCGTGGGTTCTCTTTTAGTACAGGAGACTGGCGGCTGCCGTCCATTAGTTCCACTTTCCAGACTGGAGTCTGTCAACATCCACAGCCCTGACTCCTGTAGCCCGAGCTCTGGTCCCCTCACCTCCTTGTGTGTTCCCAGGGCTGGACCCGGCAGTGCACCTCAGTGCCATACATCTGTTGGGACATGGTCCTCCCTCTCTACCTTTGACTTGGTCACCCAGGTTCTACTCTCTGGGGAAGGCCCTTCTCTCCTCTCTGTGCCCTTAAACTCAACATTATATAATAGATCTGTTTGAATGTTTGATCTTCCTCTAACCCCAGTGTCGGGTGCTCATTTACATTGCCATGTGCCGTCGGAACACAAACTCTCTCTTACTTCCGTGCAGCCATCTCTGGGTCATCAGCAACATGACTGAGCATTTCTCTGTGTGAGGCCAGATGCAGATTCCATAGAGGATGCCTGGCCTCTTCAGGAACATGCTCATCTTTCCAGCCTGGGTCAGACACATGACTTTTGGCTTGGCCTTTCACTTAGGCAACAACAACAAGGGAGATAAGGGGATGGCCTGAAGTGAATTTGGGAAGGTGCTTCTGAACTTAATGTCAACTAGACTGGCCAATATCCCAGAGCATGCGGGACTGGTGACTGCCATGCACGGTTTATATGTCCACAATGAAAAGAATGTTCTTCACCATTGCATGCAGAAACCGAAGAAAGGCTCAATAAGGGTTGGGGAGAGTATCATTCCTGATCAGTGCTGACACAGCGCCAGAGAATCATGCTGGTCCACGAGGCACTCAAAGTGCAGAGCAGGAAGCAGAGGGCAGCAAGCAAAACAGCCTTGTGAGGCTCTGTGAGCAGGAGACAGCCAGCAGAGCTCGGCACCAGTTTCTGTCCTCATTTAAATTCCAGAGCATCAGTGTCTGAAAGAATGATCCAGACTCAGCTGTGCAAATGCAGTCTGTCTCCATGTTTGGCCCTGAAGCAGATGGTAGGCACAAAGTATGCGTGTGTGTGTGTGTGTGTGTGTGTGTGTATGTGTGTGTGTGTGTGTGTGTGTGTATGTGCGTGTGTGTGTGTGTACGTGTGTGTGCATGCCTCACACATGTCAGGTAAGTACTCTACCACTGAGGCACATCCCCACCTCTCTAAATTCCTGCTTTTATCTAGTCATCAGGCCATTTTGACAGAAAAGGACCAGTGACTGCACAATGGGACACTTGGGTTCAGAATATGTTCCTTTCACTAGCTCAGCTTGGCTAAGAGTCAAAGTTCCTCCAGGGACTAGATATCCTGTTGGCATGTGTGATAGCTCAAATCCTAGTGTGCGGAGCCTCTTGGTATTGACAGACTCGTGCAGCCCCTGTTGGCTCCACAGCTCTTGCAGCAATCAGAATGCAGGGAAGTGTTGCAGAGGTGGGCTCAGGCCAAAGACCTAAGAGGGTCTAGAAACTTCTGCCTGACAGCTTTGGGGGACAAAGGCCACCGTGGATGAAGTCAAATGACACCAGTGGAAAATGTGGAGGGTAGGAAGAGCGAGAGTGAGACACAGACAGAGACCCAGTTCAGTCACCCCAGTGTCCCCACTGAGCCCTGCTTCTTCCAGTACCTACCGAAGCACCAGACATGTGTGCACACTGTCTTGGAAGTCCTGGCCTACTCATGCTCATAGCTGAGTATTTGTGGTCTTGGCTGATGTCACACAGGACTGAAGAGCTGTTGAGCTAAGCCCAGTCAACTCTAGCCAATGCACAGAAGAACTAGCTCACTGTGGGCCATGATTGCATAGTGATCTGATGCTACAGAACTAACCTGCCCAAGTTTTGGAGGCTGACAACATCAAGGACTAGTAAGTTCTCACAAATCAAAGAGCACAATCCTTAATAAAATGGATTTATGTGAGCATACTACAAAATTGCTGATTTTCTCCTAACACACACCCACTCCCTCCTGGAGGCCTACAGCTGATGTCAGCTGTATTCTTTGATGGATCTCCATTTTATTTATTGAGTTAAGGTCTCTCAGTTGAATCCAGAGCTCATCAATTGGCTAGAGCAGCTAGTCAATTTGTTCTGGGCCTCCTCTACCTTTGCCTCTAGAGTTCTGGGATTCCAGGGACTGCCATGTCTGTGCAGCAAGCACTTCTATCCATTGTGCCGTTTCCCCAGCCCTTTGAAGTGTTTTGAGTGGCTTATTCGAAATAATGGATTAATCTGTGAACATCTGACATGAAACAGGAGGTATTTCTTTGCAGCTCAGTCCATGGGGGCTGCAGTCAGTACAGATTCAGATTCCGGAAGATAGATGAGGACTGACATTAGGAGACGCAGCAGGAGAGGACCTGGAGCACAGTGACAGATGGTTGGAAACAGTTACCCTTCATCTAATGGACAGGACACATGTGGGAACACAGCTACTGTGCCAGAGTCCGTCCTGCCCGCTCCCAGGAGCTGGTCCAGGCCACCCAGCCCCACTACCCAGCAGCGCACATCTACACCATGTTGTGTAAAGTAGCTAGGCTCCTAGTCGTCTGTGGGATGTAAAACTATAGTTGTAGAGAAAACTATAGCTTCTGTTATTCTACAAGTTAAGTGCAGTGGGACCCATGAGGTGGGTAGATTTGGACCAGAGAGAACCAGAACTCTTGTCACAGTGAGTGTGGTACCAAATGGATGGCTGTTCTATCCATCCATGCTCTTCCTGTTTTCTAGCCCTCTCAGGAGCTGACGAATCTCTTGATTTGTCCTCCTTCTGCCATGAGCCCTTCTCAGGCTCTCCCTGCATTTCCTTCCTGCAGCCTGCACACATGTGCTAATAGACAGACACTGGTCAGGTCCTCTGCACAAATCTACAAGGCATCTGAGGCCGAGAGACTCCAGGCTCTGCTCAGAATTCTAGAAGAGGCTCCTTACAGGTAGGGCCTCTAAAGTGGGGCCAAGGATTAATTCCTGTTGACCATTATGCTCTCCTGTAGCTCCCTCCCTTCTCATGGAACTTGTTCCCTTCCTCTCTCCCTTCCTCTCCCTCCCTCCCTCCCTCCCTCCCTCCCTCCCTCCCTCCCTCCCTTTCTCCCTCCCTCTCTCCCTCCTCTGTGTGTGTCCAAGTCCCTTACAGGAAGCCTAGTCCATGCACAGCACAGGTAGAATTGGTCATGAATTTTACATCCTAGAGACTTTCCAAAGGTGGGACTGTGAGAACCAAGAAGAAAACCTCGGGGGAAACAGATTTCTTGTGAAAGCTTCTCCCTCCCTGTTGCGAGTGCCAGGTGAGGTAGGAAGTGGCCTCTCTATACTTACTACAGAGATAAGTATTCAGACTCGGAGGAAAGTCCTTTGATGAAGGCACAAATGGGAAGAGAAAGGAAGACATTGTGGACAAGTTGACAACACACCACGATGAGACACAGTGAACACACAGCCAGTAGAGAGGAGGGAGGGACATCCACTTGGGGCTCTGGCCTCAAGCAGATGAGTTTTCTCCAACAAGGCTGGGCCTGCGAGCAAGGCAGGGGTTGGCTTGGACAGGAAGCTCAGGGTGGAGGTGCTACCAGAATCACATATGTGACCTGTCACTTAGGAAAGGGATCCCAGAAGCCCAGCTATTCTCTGGATAGCACGGTGCCCTCTCTGGTGGAGTGTCTCAGGGCACCCAGTGGAGCAACGTGGTGGTGGTGAGGGGCCACGACAGCATTGTTACCAAGTATGCCTTAATCACAGTTAGTTCTTAGGTTCAAATTATTCCCTTACTCCTTCACAGTATGCTGCCACCAACACTCCCTTTAGACAGAAAGAACTGTAACAAGGGAAAGCATTTGGCACACAAGGAAACACACACAGACTGGGTCTCTGAACTACTAAAACTGGCAGTTTGGTTGGGCCTCGAATTCTATTGTCTAGAGTCGTGTCTCTCTAACAACACTGTTTTCAGCTGGTTCATATTTCCGAGTGCTCTGGACAAATGCTGAGGGTGGACTCCAGGCCACAGAACCACCTAAGTTCACCAGGGGATCCCGACGCTCATTTGAGACTGACAGTGCCGCCTTCAAGTCACGCCCCCGAGAAATGCAGTCTCGGACCTGGCAGAGCAGAGCTTTCATTTTATAGAGATCCTTCCCCACATCATCACCTGAGGACCAGATAGGACAAGCAGCCTTCTGGGGAGGGGCAGGCTGTGGGTCAGTCCTTTATCTCTGCGTGGAAGGGCTTTGGTCGCATCAGCACAGCTCACTAGTAAGACAAACTGAATCTTGCCCAGATTGCCTGGAGCTGCCCGAGAGGAAGCGTTTCCTGTGGGAGCAAGGCCACCCTCCCCTACAAACCCTTACCAGCTATCAACAGTTCTCTACAGTGTGTGACCAACCACCCACTCCCCTCACAGGTGCCTTTTGAAGCCTGCCAGCTCCACTCACCCTCTGAAGCCTTGGAAGGAGAAACTGCTGGGCTCTTGGTCCCTGCCTTCGTCGGACTCTGCGCTGGAGACGCAGGTGTGGATTTTATGGGTGATCCAGGTTCTTCTGTGGCTGTGTCCTTTTCCCCTGAAAAATAACAGAAACCTACCTTAGCACAGAAGTCACAGAGAGACATGGGGAGGGGGCGTGAGTGTGAAACCCAGTGCTTTTCTACTTCGTCACTTCTGACTGGAGATGTTTTGGGCCCTCCTTTGCTCAGTTTACCCCTGCTCGTTCCCAGGGAGGCTAAAAGGGGGGCAGTCAGAGTTATACTTCATCTTGTCTATCTCACTCCTGGGAGGAAGTAAGGTGGCAGGAGAATGCCGTGGGCCAGTCCAGCATCCGACTCTGCAGGTGTGGCTGAAAAGGACCAGCCACAGAACACATCCACAGACGGAAGCAGAGCCCCCACAACTACTGGCTTAGGAACACCCAGAGCTGTTCACAATTGCTAGCTCGCTAGCTAACTCAGCTAACTCACACCTTCCTTCCAAACAGTCCCTAGCACATTTTTTCTACTTTTTCCAGCTGGCACATTTGAACCCCAAGCAAGAGGAAAGTAGTACGTGAAGAGATGTCTAATCCTGGGTGAGAAGAAGGGGTGGTGGAGGCCCCCACTCAGGGAAGCTACACCTTAGTTTAAGTGGGTTTCAGGCCCAGGTGATCTGGAAGCAAGGAGGCGAAACAGCTCCATTGTGCTGAGCGGGAGAGTGAGAGAACGCCTTTCACTCAGAGAAGGAGCTGAGGTAGAGCCTGTGGGGTAGATGATTTGGTTCAGGCTAGTCCAGATGGGAACAAAAGCATGACCCAGCAAGTCAAAACATCAGGAGTTTCAGCACAGAGGGACTGGTTGGACTCCAGCTTCTGAAGCAAGGAGAGTGCCATCAGCTGATGGAGTCCTGGCCACTGTCACACCTGTCTAGTTGCAGCTAACATCAACCCGTTATTTACCGGCCTTTGTCTTAATCAAAGGCACAATTCTAAGTACTTTACAAGTATTAACTCCTTCCTATCCAGTGGAACAGGGTCAGTGGAGTCATGCAGGTGCCTGTCCATGCAGCTGTGAGATGGTGGATCATATCTAGCTATATTCTGCTCATGGTGCTATTTGGTGATGGGGCAAGAAGGTCCTCATTGGGACCTCAGACCACAGCGAGGAGTCTGAGCTCTCCTCTCTAGGCTGGCAGGCCCTGCAGCTATGGCTTGCACAGGTTTACCTTCCTGCTCCTGCTCTAGCTTCTTCCTCTCCACCTCCTTCTTGTACTCCTCCAGCTCCTGGTCGGTGAGTTGGCTGAAGGGATTGGGCACTGTCTCCTCTGATTCGTCTTTGGTATCTGCGTCGCCCTTGGACATCAGCTGGCTCTCTGTAGACTGAAAGTTAACCAGAGTGTGTGTTGCTCTCTGACCGCTGTGCTGGGGCCCAAGCTGGAGCTTCTCTCACACTCAGGTGGCGATCAGATGTCTTGCTAGGGAACTGGCATGTAGTTCCTTGGGACCAAATTTGGGGGCCTTGGGGTAGGGTTCATTCTTTCTCCCCATTGCTATATCTTCCCCAGCTTAGACTTTGTAACTGTCCTGGTGAATATAAGGGTTTACCCTTTGCCCTTGAAATGAAATCAAAGGATGCTCCCAAGCAGAAGACACACCTTTATTGCAATCCCATCTATGGACACTTCCAAGCCATGACTGTGCATACATTTGATTGCCCAGAGTCAGTCAGACAAAGTCTAGCAAGCATAGCATTGGCTAGAGCAAGCAACATGCCAGGCCCCGCCCCTGCTGCCCCTCCCTGTCCCCCAACAGCAATGCAAGCCACAGTACACAGCATGAAAACACAAGACACAGGGGCTGCAGCATTCTCAGTCCAAGCAGTGGGTCCTGGAGTTAGAGTGACCAAGAGACCAGATCCTTCCTCAAGGATTTTCAGCTGCATGCTCGGCAGGCCCTAGCAAGGGCACTGGCAGAACCACTGTTTTGCATCTCGGTGCAGTCCCTGACTTGAGATCTGACTAGCCAGACACTTTTAAGCTCCAAGAATTGTCTGGTCCCTCTTGCTCAAGGGGAGACTGAACCACAGACCCTACTGCCCTCTCCCTGCACTGTCCTCTCTGCAGCCCACCCAAGGCATTGCTTGCTCTCCGTGGAGGAGGAGCACAGAGTGAAGCCTCAGGGGAGGTGAGCCAGAGCAGTCACAGCTATGGGCTTCACTCACAAGGGAGACAAAGAGTCTCAGAGTCAACAGTGAGTCTAAGACAGATGCCAAGGAGAGGGAGGGCCTCGAATGAGAGCTCTTGCTGAGAAGGACAGAGCTGCTTTAGAACAATCCTGCTCCGTGCTGGGATCACAGGCCATTTCTAACCTTGACCCTATGGCATTTTCAGTTCACCATTTGGCTGAGCTGGGAGGGTTGGGAAGCAGGTGTGAATGCATAGCTTGCTGCTGCCTGATCTGCAACCACATCACATTAACATGCTCTACAGAGAGAAATGGGCCCTGGCACTTCCCACTTGCTACTGTTTTGCAAGAGCCAAAGACAGCCATGATGCCACCTGTACAAGGCAGAATTGCAATGCCACTCTGCTGCCAAGCCCTAGACAAGATGCCATCCCATCTCAAACACAGAAACAGCGACTTCATGCTTTCTAACTCTAACTAGGTTTGTATGGACACTCCGTATCTTCCCACCCCACAGGCACAACAGTCCCGCCCACACCTCTCTCACTGTGCCCTGGAGCTCTGGCCAGATGACATCAAATCCAGAGATCAGAATCACCAAGTCCACCAGAACTCAGCAGAACACTGAGAAAGGACCTCATGAAGTCCATTGGCGGGAGGTATGGGGCCGGCCAGGCCTTCCCATGAGCAGATGGGCTGGTCTCTATCCCCTGTACCCAGGAGTGAGTCAACATTGTTCTCCCTGATCTCACAGCCACCTGTGTGGTTCACTATGCAGCAAGAGCCCGGCACCTAAGATCATGGAGTGAGTGGGCCTGAGGACTCAGGGGTCCCACTGCCCAGCCCCAGGAGGCAGATATGCTTCCCCCTCAGTTGGGGGTGGCGTCTGCTGTACCGGGCTCCGGCTCTTCTCGGCGATGACGCTGGCCAAGAGTTGGGACTGGGGCCCTGCAGACTTTATGTCTTGTCGGTTTTGTTCTCGAATCTGTGTGGAAAGGGGAGAGGAAGGGTTCAGAGCATGGACGGGCACTCCAGTGTCTAGTGAGGCAGGGACAGGTCTGACAAGGTACTCTATGGTCAGCAGCCTGTCCTCTAGCACAATCTGCCATCCTGAGAGCTGACTCTATACCTGGTCCCAAGCCACTGAACTCATAAACTGAACTCATAAAAGGCCACTCTGTGAACAAGTCTTTCAGACCTACCTACTGTGCAAAGCAAGTGCCCTGCTACATAAATGGGTTACAGAGAACCACAGGACCTTGTAAGTCCAGCATGAAGCACTGAGCCCAGGATGTAGCTCATACATATCAGCTACATATCGTGTCATATCAGGGGTACTGGTGAGTTCCCCCAACCTGGAAACTTGTCTCTTGCTTCTGGGACCCCAGAATCCTTCAGAAAAGCAAGAGAGAAGAGCAGACTCACCTTGTTCCTCATGTCCAGCACTTCTTGGGGGTCAGTGTAGAGAGGCACAAATTGGTTTGGGTTTTCGATCCGTATGGGCATGCCACTGCTGGACTTTTCCACCTCGTCAGCTTTCATCCACTGACAAGACAAGGCACGTGAGGAAGGAGGCCGGACTACAGGCCAGCGGGTGCCCCACCCACCACCATGGAAGGTCAGCAAACCGCTCAGAGCTGTTCTCTTTGTGTGTCAGAGCCAAGATGAGCGACAGATGACCCAGATGTCAAGGAAGGCCAGAGGGCCATAACGAACTTCAGAGAGTAGTAGCTGAAACTTGGGCAGGCACCAGTGGGCTTCAGTTCCAGGTAACTGGACTTATATCTGGTGGAAATTTATTCTGACTGGCTGTGGCCACTTTTCGTTAATGAAAAATAAAACACAGTGGAACTGGAGGGATTGCCCAGTGGTTAAAGCATAAGGACCTGCATCTGGATCCTCAGGGATGGGAGTCGTGGTCCACCCATAACTCCAGCTGTGAGAGGCTGAGACAGGAGATTCCTAGAGCAAGTAAGTTTAACATCAAGCTCTAGAATTATCTCAATGAATAATATAGAAGAGTTATAGAGATTAATTCCAGAATCAACCCTGAGCCACATACATGTGCACCCATGTGCATGCCAAAAAAAGCACATTTACCCGTAAAAAAACAGAAAGGAAAAAAATCAAGTAGAGGTCTGTGGAAGGAAGGGAAAAGAGAGAGGAACGGCAACATGTGCTCAGCCTCTCTTCCTCTTGGGTTTGTGTCAAACCCCAGGCCCACTGTTGGGTACCTCTCCCGTGAGTTTCCCAAAGCGTAACCCCATGGTTGTAAGGTGAAACAGAACTTAATCTCTCTCGAATCTGTGCTTATGGAAATAGCCCAGTCCTGTTGCCCTCTGGAGAACTCTGCCCCTCACACCTGAAGTCTCAATACAGGGGTGCAAAAAAGAGGTGTAAGGGTCTCTAGGGCCTGAGCACAGCCTACACGAACCAGTAAAATATTACACAATTTGCTTCCCTTCAAATCCAACTCATCCCATCCAGGCCGGCCTGACCTCTCCCTCTCACCGTGGTCTTGGGCCGGGGACTGCCCATATTCCTCTGCACCTCGTCAGCCACATTCACCCGCAGGTAGGTGTTGGGCGTGTTAAGCCAACGGGTCTTCTCCTTCTGCTGCTTCTGAGCATGCTGGCGCAGGGCAGGGACTGGGGCACCGTCCTCTTCGAACACAAAGGCAGTGACTGTGGCTGGGATCTCCACTTCACTTTTGTGTTTGGTTTTCTCTTGGACAAAGGGGTGGCGATATGTGTAGCCTGTCCTGTAGCCCTGAGAGGACAGAACCAGAACCAGGTGTTGTAGAGGTGAGAGGTCCACACCTGAATACCCACCAGACACCCGAGAAGCCAGGCTAAGGTCACAGGGATTTTAAATTGAGATGGGCCTGGTCATTTAGGCTTGTCATTCCAGTTGCTCAGAAAGCTGAGGCAGGAGCATGACAAGTTCAAGGCTTGCCTGGACCACAGAGCAAGCTCAAGGCCCCCTAGATAATGTGGTGATGCTCTGCTTCAAGATAAAGCATGGACAAAAGGGCTGGGGGTGTAGCTCCACAGTAGAGCGCTGGCTTGGCACATGTGACAGCCTGTGTTTGATCTCTAGCATATAAAAAATTAACAAAATAATGAGTCCTGCTTAAATTGCTTTTTTCTACAATAATAATAATAATAATAATAATAATAATAATAATAATAATAATGTATAATTTTGCAGTGCTGGGTCTAACATATCATGCGAAACCAGACACTTACTCTATAATGAGTTATACCCTCAGTATCCAGTGTTTCCAAAGTAGCTAAAATAAAGATAAAAATAACTGAGATTTAATATTATATGTATGTGCATGTGTTCTTTGTGTAGGTGTGTGTTTGCAGGTCACAGAACTGCAAAGGGGATCATGAGTGAGAAGGAGGTCTAAGGGAGCGAGGTACAGAGAGCAGTGTATATATGTCACAGGAAAGCAGAAGTGGGGGCTGAGGGAAGGAAGAGGAACAACAGAGGGATAATGGGTGGGGACGGGAGCGAGGTGGGAGAAATCAGAGCAATGTAGGATGATACATATGTAGGAAGACTCCACGTTGAGACTCATTACTTTGTATGCTAATCTTAAACATTAGTTTTAAAATAATGTCAAAGTAATTACCATAGTAAATTTCCCTTGAACGGTAGGAACAAGCCCTGGCTTGGTCATTGTACGGAGCTGGTTGAAGTTCCTGGCTCACTCAAAGCACCTTTCACTAACATCCACAGGGAAATCTGACTGCCCTAGTACCCTCCTTCTCTCCTCTCTGAAACTTTAAATGGAATCTTCTGCTTCTCAAAGCTTCCAAAGGATTCCTGTAGGAAGCCACTCACAAAGTCCTGGTGCTTCCTCTAGGGGCAATGATTCAGCACACAGATGTTGCCAGGAATTCCATCACCAAAGGCATGCTTCACCATTACAAAGGCTCCCTCAGGTCAGCCTAGCAAAAGGACTAGGAGGGAGGAGGGAGGGACAAGATTCGTTATTGCGGTGACTTTGATATGATAAAGTCAAGTGGCCTTGAGGGTGAGGAAGGTCAGCTGAACAGGAACATTCTAAAGATGGCTTTCATTTCTCACCCAACAGTCCCAGCGACCCACTGACCCCTCCCTCTTGTGCCTGAAGTGTTTCCTTTGATTTTCCATATCATCAACTCAGTCATTAGCTCCTGCAAGGGGGATGCTGTCCGCTTGAACCCTTTAATGAATCATCCATCTAATTCCTTATGAGACTGGTTCATTCATTCACTGCAACAAAGTACTGTAAAGCTACTGTTTGTAATAGGGAAACTGGCTGTGTGATGGCTTTCAGTACTGGAGCTGTGACAGTAAAGATGGAGCAGGATCAACTCCAAAAGAGGCGTGGGTAATGGAAATGACGGTGGTGACGGCCTGTGGCTGTGAGGAGAGGCACTGGCTTCGCTGAACTACTCGCTATTTCCCATGCAGAACACAGACAGACATGAGGATGTCTCAGCGCTTAGCACAGGGAGAAAAAGCGAGTACTGAAGAAAACTATTGTTCAAATGAAAAACCTCAGAGGCTTTCACCAACCAAACCATGACAGAGGCAGTTCTTGTATGTCCTAGTGTTTTGAGATGTCTGGTTCTGTGGGCTCAGCCTCTGTGGAGTGGTCTGAAGGACAGCACCAAGACACTCACTAAGTTGTCCAGCATCCTCATGAGGGCTTCAAATTCATGTTCTCCCAGCCGGCTCTTCTGCATGGGTCCAAAAGTGCTGCCTGCCCACTGCACAGAGCCCACCTCATGTGGCCGGTGTTTCTCTTGCTCTAGGAGAATAAGGTTCTCAGTTCCTCCAGCGCTGGACAGAGCTGACACCTACAGAGAGATCAGAGCACTTAGTCACAGGGGAATGAAGCCCCCCAAACTGCTATGGTTTGCACAAGGAAGCAGTGGGGCCACAAAGGAAAATTCAGGACCAAGAAAGGTCCAGGGAACTGGAGGGAAATAGCCGGACACTTGTTGGGCATACACTCACTGTCATGGATCAAAGTGTAAGTAATTCCTCCTCAGGCTCAGTTCTTAGAGAACCCCAGAGTGGTAGAAATAACAAATGTTAAACTCCAGAAATGAAACCACACAGAGGACTGAACTGGTATCTTGGATATAGCACACCTAGGTACCAAAACAGGCACCTAGGATATAGCATCCCAAAGAACTAAACAGTACCTAGAACATAATGTCTCAGGGAAGAAGGAATGGTATCCAGGATGCACTGCAGAATTGTAATTATTTCTGGAGAAGACAATGCTAGAAAAGGCTCCAAAGGGGACTATTCATTGTTTTATAGACAAGGTCTCATGTAATCCAATGTGGCCTTGAATTTGCTACGTGAAAACCTGATTTTTCTGCCTCTACGTGTTGGGGACTATGGACCCTCAGACCCTGAATTTTCTATGACCCTTTGTCTGACAGAGTAAACAGCTTGTTTTCCTGTGCTTGCAGCTGCTCTGAACGTGATGAGACCCTCATGAGTTTCTGATGGCAGGGGAGTGGTTTCTGGTGGGTTTGTAGCTGAAAAATCCTGAGAGCTAGGGCGTGGCCATTAGTCAAGGAGAGCCCTATAACACAATAAAATGGGCATTCTTGTTTCAAGAGTGGCCCATGTCTCTGTGTGTTCTGTAATCTCCAGACCCTTGCCTGACTGTGGTTCCAGGTGGTGCAGGCACCACGTCTACCTACCAAGATTAAAGATGCCTGCTATCATGTCAATCTGGATCTTCAATCATTATTTCTAATATTTTATTTATTCAAGAAGAATTAAAAATGTCTGCCACTGTGTCCTGAAGGAACTTCAATTATTGTCTGTAATATGTAATTTCTTCACGAGGAAACTATCTAAAGCAAACGGCCATAAATACTTGTGGAACCTGAGGGGCAGTGTCAGCGTCTTCTTCTCTTTATTTTCCCATGTGTATGTGTGTGACGGCTAGTTTTAAGTCAATGTGATATATAAGTCAGAGTCTTCTAGGAAGAGGGGACCTCAATTTTGAAAATGACTCAGCTCAATTAGATTGGGCTGCAGGCAAGTCTGTGGAGTACTTTCTTGATTAATGCTTGATGTGGGAGGGCCCAGGCCACTGGGGCAGTGGTAACCATGGGCAGGTGGTCGTGGGGTGTATAAGAAAGCAGGCTGAGCAAGCCAGAGGGGATAAGCCAGTAAGCAGCATCCTCCAAGGCCTCTGCTTCAGGTCCTGCCTCCAGGATCCTGACTTGAGTTCCTTCCCTGATGTCTCTTGGTGATGGACCTGAGAGCTGTAAGATGATATAAACCCTTTCCTCCCCAAGTTGTGCTTTATCACAGCCATGGAAAGTAAACTAAGACAGTGTGAAACATAGGATCCCTCTCTCCCTAACACCTGGTAGGCAAACTTAGACCGAAGGCCTTTAGGTGTAACCTCCTGCAGGGGCCGTAGATCTACAGAAGAATGCCCTGGGCAGAGGAAAAGCCAGAAGATTTTTCTACAGTCTTGTTATTCAAGCTATATGTCCATACACCCATGCTGGGGTGACCAGTCACCAGGTCCAGCGTCAACGTTGCAGGAAAGGTGTGTCGCAGTGTCGGACGGCTCCCCCCAGGGTCCTAGAGTCTGTCCCACTGTTAGAGCTCCATGGGGAAAGAGCAGATCAGGTGGCCTCAGGCAGCATCCCTAACTATTAGCACAGAGGTACGCGTATAGAACAGGCAGTTTAGACTAATCTTCAAAGCCTCCATACACTTGATCAGCCTCTGTCTTTCCCATCTCATACTTATCTAGTGGTACAGTCTGCTGAGCCCCGCAGCCCTGCCATTCAGATGTTCTTAGTCAGGCTTGGCTTTCGGGGAGGGAGAGGGACATCTGAGATGCATCACTACAGGAGTGTGTAAACACACTCACATCTGAGAAGACTGCCCCCACACAAGCTCGCTTACCAGAGCTGCCCCTCTGATGATCTAACCTGCAGTGCCTTGTGTTTCAGGATGGGTTGGGAGTCTGGGCTGTGGTTTAGTGGTGTTTCTTTCGACCAAAGATAAAAGGGTCCATTTAGTTTACTAACAAATGCAGACACATGAGCTGCAGGCATCTGGGCAGCACCTTGAGTTCCTGGCATTCTCCTGCACCAATGGATGACCCCCAACTACTTTTTGGAGGTGAGTTCCTCAGACTCCCTCAGATGAGCCATGACACCCTGGGCGAAGAGGGCGTCACAACACTTTCCAGTGCCTTTTTACTCAAGATATATGTCTCCACGTCTTTAACTGCCCCGACTGTCCCCTGCTGCTCTTGAGGGGCAGTGCTAGGGTGTGTTGAAGAGGAGGCCTGTGTGGGTACCATGCTGCCTGGTGTATTACATCACCTTCTCACCATGTGACTTTGGGCAGCTGTTGACCGTATTTGTTCTTCAGCTTCCACCCCTGTCAAGTAAAAATGGCAGTGCCCTAGCGACCTCATGAGGAGTCTTTTAAGGTAATACGGTAAAGTATTTGGAATGTTCTGGAGCCTCAGGAGCACCACATGGTTGCTGTTGCTAAGTTAACAGAGGATGAGAGGCGGCTTCCCCTGGGACTGTTAATGGAGGAGGAAGGAGGGAGAGAGCACCCACAGCCTTGCCCAAGCTGCCTCCTTCCGGCTCTTCCTCCAGCAGTTTCCATGGCGATGGGAAGCAGATGGAGAAGAACTGCCTGTGCTTCCCATCTGCCTCTCAGCGAGCAATGACCCACTTTTCTAGAACTCCAAACCGATAGGCAAAGAGAACACTGGGCCCAGGAGAGCTGAGAAGGTGCTTGGGCTTGGACCACAGACACGTTCATAGTCCATAATCACGTTCCCCTGTTCACCAAGGTCACCGGGCCCATGGTGGACACAGCTCCAGAGTTGGCTGCCCGAGTGCAAGCCTGCAGTAGCTGCAGGCCGTGGCTTCTGCACTCATTTGTGTCTTATCCTCTGCTTTTGCTCTTCCATGTCTAGACCATCCCTCCTCCCTCCCTCTAGAAGTCTCTTCATCCCTGACACTGACAAAGAGTCACAGATACTTTCCTGGGTTGGTTGCCAGAGGGATGTGGGTGGTCAAAGGCACAGCAAGCCAGACCTGTGCAGAAAGTGACACCAGCCAGGAGGCTGTTAGGGACCAGGACTAACAGCTCTGACCTATGGCTGCAGATCAGAAGGTTAAACTGGGTCTGAACTGAAGGCCTCTCCACTGTAGACCTGGAGAGAAGCAGCAGGAGTTCTCCATCTGTGCAGAGGGCTGGGATAGCTTTGAGGAGAGGAGCTTTTTCTGGGTGTTCTCTCACAGAAGTATCTGCAAAGGTGTGGTAGGGAGCCCTTTACAGTCCAGTGTGAGGAAAGACATTCTCCCCTTGATAGTAGAGGTTCAGCCAGTTCTGACACCAGTCAGTGGCCCGAGCATGGGACAGCATTCATAGTTGAAGGAGAAGGCAGTGCATCAGAGACATGACCTGGACCCAGGGTCCCACAGTCTCTAACTCTGACCATTGCTGTTTCTTGGGATCCTGTAACTTTTATTCCCTGTAACTTTTTCATCTCTGGACTCACAGTTGCCTCAGCAACACTCCCCTACAGCCCACTGTTAGGGTACCATAGGCTCCTCCACCCCCACACTACTGCACTGATCTCACCTTTTCCCTAGTGACACTGAGAAAGGTGGCGACTTCCTTCAGTGCTTCTCTGCCAGGCCAACCAAAATAAGGCATCATGGCATCACGTGGGACTTCCGGAGAGCTGACTGTTCTGGGATGCAGCCTTGGCATCTGTCAGCCAAGCCCTAACAGCAGTGCCACTCCCCCTTCTAGCCTGGAGAGGCCACTCTTCCCAGCAACTTTGACCCATGCAGACATGAAGAAAACAGGCTTACAGAGGGCACATCTCTGCCCCAAGGACACCCAGCCAGGGCTGGAGATGAAGGAGCTGAGAAAGCCAGGTCACAAAGTCTATCCAGGGCTGGGTAAGCCCCACCCCCACCAACGTGTCTACCACAGAGTGCATGCTCTTTGACTGACCTGCACTGTACAGCTGACTGTACCAGCATCCCTGCTGTTCCAGGGGCACCATTATCATTGACACCTCCACCTAGCTGTCCCTTCCCAGTGAGGGGACTGGGAGAACTCCTCCCTACATACCCTTGGGGGTATCTTGCTGTTGTGGTCGCTATGACAACACTGACTGTCTCTCTGTCCACTCCTCTTTCCATGCCTGACCACACTCCTGACCCATGTACAGCCAACCCCGTTCCATGCTACTCCCTGGCAAAACAAGAACAACCTTTTCCTGTGTCCCCCAGTACAGCTTGGTGTACCAGCCACCCTAGGTGACACAGGTGTGACAGGGCTTTTGTGTGCCTGTGATGGTTTCCCCATTCTGGTCTCAGGTTCCCTAGATATCAGTAGTACCAGTCACATGGTGTGATGGAATTTTCCAGGACGTGGATCCACTGTCAGCAGGAAACTGCAGAGGTGGAAGGGAAGTGTTGACTGGCAGAGTAACAAAGCAGAGTCTCAGGAAGTCAGGCTCACAGGACCCCAAATGACAGCTAGCAGGGCCCACAGTTCCCAGGGACCCCATCAAAGCCAGATTCTGAGCCTACTTCCCAGAGCGCCTTGCGTACCTGTACCTCGCACGCAGCCTGCAGGTGGAAGATCTTATAGAAAGCCTCCTCCACAGTGTCACCCAGAGCGACCATGCCATGGTTTCTCAGCACCAGGATCTGTGGAGGAGGAAAGAGCCCATTAAGTCTGAGCCTCTGGAACTCCCCCTCTGGGCCAGCAAGATGGCTCCATGGGGAAAGGTGCCAGTCATCATGTCTGAAAACCTTTGCTCAGTCCCTGGGACCGACATGGCAGAAGGAGAGAATAGACTATCACAGATCTTCCTCTGGATCCTGTGTGAGCCTTGGAGGCTTAAACTAATCCCCTACCCCACTGCCCACCCCCCAAACTGAAGTGAGTAAATAAAATTGTATAATAAAATTAACAGTAAAAAAGCTTCTCTCCTAAGGGACTTTCATCTTACCAAGATCAAGTCTATACCCAGCCTGGAGCCTCTCCCGCAACTTCCCACCTTTTCTCTGTAATCAGGAACCTCACTGCTAATCTAAGTGTGGTTTGAGTCCAGTGCACCCAACTGCAGGAAATAGAAAAGGACATTTGAAACTGATTCTGTGCAGCTCCAGTGACTTTGTGGGGGCACTGCTATTGTTTGGGCCTTAGAGAATTCAGAAGCCCGAAAAGGCAGTCAGCAAAACCATCTGATGCTCAGTATAGTGCTCGGACCTCAACAGTGACCTTCTGCCCTGTGACCTGGTCAACTTTGGTCAAATCCAAGAGGATAACACTCTTGGTGGCTCTGCAGGAACAGGCAGCCATATGCTATCTCTCCGGACCTCGGGCTTTTGCTCCACAGACTTGGCCCTGACAGCTACAGTTCACTTCTAGTCAGTTTTTCAAGTGAGGAACAAGAAGTTCAGAGAAATGGAAAGTCTCTGGCTCCCTGGATGCAGACTCTAGACTAGAACCTGGGGCTCTCACTGGTGAAACTGTTTCTGATTTGGCAGGGACAGTGAATGAAGGGAGTGAAGAGACCAGACACAGGTTTAGATCTCAATTAAGACTTTCCTTCCTTCCCTAAAAGAAATACTCATGGTTGGTTTTACCCTCAGCAGCTTTGAAGCCAGGGGAAGCACGAGGGAGCTGAGGTAAAGAGCTATGCATTTGGTCCCTGCAGAGGGCTGAGGCCTGGGGTCAGAGCATCTTGGCCTCTCTTGCTAGGATCAGCTGGAGTCTTTTCTTCTCCATGCCCAGGACTTAGAAAGAGCACAGGGCTCAACTTAGAAACAGAAAAAGCACGTGGAAGACCTTCTCTTAGATTGCCATAGCCCACACACCACTGAGGGTACCCTGGGGTTCATGGGAAGAGTAGCAAGCTCCTCCCCCAAGGTGGAGATGGGGAGGCAGGGACTCAGGGGAAGTGACACAGCTGCCAGCTCAGACTCTGGCCCGAGATGGCACCACAACTCTTGCTAGCAGAAGGCAGTGTTTTAGACTTAAGTCAGGCAACAATACACTTCTCTCTTCTATCCAGTTAGTAACTAATGAATTAACATAGTTAATATTAATGAATTAATATAGCACTCAATTTGGGGAGACTTAGAAAGATAGCCTATATATTAGGTGTGAGGAAGGAAGCAGAAGGGACAACCTTTGTGGGAAGGAATCAGGCAATATGAAGTCAGACTTATCAAGTGTGTTCCCTAAAATATCTAAGGGAGCCTCCTTAAGCCCAGAGGCTTAGCTGGAAAGATTTTCTCTTGGTGTTGTTTTTATTAAGAGGAACCCAGGAGGTAAGAAGGAAAGTACCCCCTGTAAGGTTCAACCACAGAGGTCTGCTCAGGTAAATTACAGCTTTTCATACAATGAGGTATGATTTAATAATCTGAGTGATGGAGGAAACAGTCACATAAGAAGGCACTTAGTGTGCATTGTTGAGGGTAGGAGAATTGGTTTCCTGGTTGCAGTTTTGTAAATATATGTGAACAGCCTTACAGAATGCAACAGCATCTCCAGAGCTATGTGGGAGAAGTGGGTTTTTTTGTTTTCAATTCTTTTCTTTCTAAAAAAAATTCTATGAAACTTGGAGGCTGGAGAGATAGCCCAGTGGCTAAGCGTGTTCCTGCTCTTGCAGAGGACCCAAGCTCAGGCCTGAGCACTTCTTTCAGGCTGTTCACAATCACCTGCTATTAACTCCTGCTCCAGGGGATCTGATGACCCCTTCTGGCCTCCACATGTACACACACAAAAATCTTAAAAATTATCTACAGAACAAACGTTCTCCAATGAGTACATGCTACTTTTGTGATGTTAATTCTGTCTGTCTGTGTGACAGAGGGGGAGAGAGGGGGAGAGAGGGAGAGCGAGAGAGAGAGAGAGAGGGAGAGAGAGAGAGGGAGAGGGAGAGAGAGGGAGAGAGAGGGAGAGAGAGAGAGGGAGAGAGAGAGAGAGAGAGAGAGAGAGACAGAGAGAGAGAGAGAGAGAGAGACCGAGCACATCAGAGGTGAACACTGGGCATCTTTTTCAAGTCTTCTCCACCTGATTTTTTTTTTTTTTGAGACATGGTGTTGCATTAAATCTGGAGCTCACTGATTCAGTTAAACTGATTGGCCACACAAGTCCCAGGGGTCCACCTGCCAGCACTGATACAGAACGGTCACACCCACCTTTTTATGTAGATACTGAGGAAGGAACTCAGGTTCTTGTACAGCCAGCTCTTTACCGTTCTGAACCATCTCCCTGGTCTTGTGATGTCAGCTTTTGACAGTACCACTCCACAGCCCCCTCCCAGAAACAAACCTTGCAGGTCGGTCCAAGGCACTTCTGCAAATTGATTCGATCTGCTTCCTGCTCCATTTCCCCATTGAAGTCATAGTAGGCCATGTCCCCCACCAGCAGGGCATTATGGGAGACAGGCAGGAGGCCACACTTCATAGCTGACACCTACAGGGAAACAATAGTTACCTGGCACCTGCAGCCCAGGCCGCAGGGTGCACAGGCCCTCTCTCCTTGTAGCACAGCAGGCCAGGCCTGCTCACAGGAGGAAGACTGTGCACTGCCCAGGCCCACTCTCTCAGTGAGGGCTGTGGCCTTTCCGTCACACTTGCACATCACCCCAGCAGCTCTGAGGACTGCTGGGCTAGCATGCCCACGGGGGACCCTGCCACCTAGCCCCAGCTCTGTGAGTCTGGGAGGCGTCAGGAGTGATGGACATGTTTTTCCCCATAGTATGGCCCTGGGGCAGTGTGAGTACAAGGACTGGGGGCTAAAACCTGTGTTGGTTCCTGGACTGGCTAGTTTTATATCAACTCTTAACACAAGCTGGAGCCATTTTAGAAGAGCTAATTGAGAAAATCGTCCTACGAGATTGGCTTTTGGGCAAGCCTGGGCTATTTCTTGATTGGTGATTGATATAGGAGGGCCCAGCTCACTGTGGGTTGTGGGTGGTGCTGCCCCTAGGTTGGTGGCCCTGACTGCTATAAAGAAAGTAGGCTGGGCAAGCCACATGGAGCAAGTCAATAAGCAGAGCTCCTCCATAACCTCTGCACCAGTTCCCACTTCCAGGCTCTTCCTTTGGGTTCCTGCCTGACTTTGCTGTATGATGAATTACAAGTTGAAAGATGAAACAAACCTGTTCCTCCTCTCTGTTGGTTCTGGCTATGGTGTGCTATCTGGCTATGGTGTACTATCTGGCTGTAGTGTGTTATCTGGCTATGGTGTGTTATCTGGTTATGGTGTGTTATCTGGCTATGGTGTGTTATCTGGTTATGGTGTGTTATCTGGCTATGGTGTGTTATCTGGCTATGGTGTGCTATCTGGCTATGGTGTGCTATCTGGCAATGGTGTGCTATCTGGCTATGGTGTGCTATCTGGCTATGGTGTGCTATCTGGCTATGGTGTTTTATCTGGCTATGGTGTGTTATCTGGCTATGGTGTATCTGGCTATGGTGTGCTATCACAGCACCAGAAAAGTAAACTAATACAGCCTCCTACTCCATTTCTCCTTGAAAACAAAGCATAGTGAGGTGCAGAAGGGACTACTATCTTGCCCCACTGTCCCAAATCAGCCCAAGACTGCAGAGACCTTCAGCATAAAGACAGCATTGAGTCTTGGTCCTGATTCTGGGAGGTCTCAACAGGCTGGTGTCGTGTTACCTGTCCTACAGGTATGTGTTCTGGTGTCGCAGGAAAGGACGATGGCCCAGGCAATGCCCAGTGTCTGCCATTTCTCTGTGACACTGCAGTGTCCTCTGTACATGTGGAGAGATGGCCTCATTGTTACCTGTGATCTGTGATTGTTCCCTCTACTCTCCCCGGGTTTATTGCCCCCTTCCCCAGATCTCAGCTGCCCTGAGCTATGGAAAAGACTCAGTTTCCATCGGCTCTCTCTCCTCTGAAGGTCTGGGTCATGTGGGGAACAGGGCAGCATGAAGCCCAACAACACTGACTTGGGCAGACACTTGAGAGGTGCAGCTGCCTGGCTGAGCTCCCCAGCTGCGGCTACGGCAGAGTGGGGGAGTCTGTGAAAGCACTTTCCTCGCCCTCACTTCTCACCAAGACCCTGGTGAGGGAAAAGAAGGCGGGAATAAAGATCCCACATGAGAATTCACTCTCTATCTGAGTTCCAGATCATTCCAGAATCTATATTTTCATCATTATTTATTTTTATTTCATATAAGTGTGTTTTCCTTTATGTCTGTCTGAGCATCACGTGCTCATAGTACATACAGAGGTCAGAGCAGTGGGTGTCGAATTCCTGGTGCTAGGGTTACAGATAATTGTGAGGGGCTGTGTGGGTGCTGAGAATGAAACCCCGGTCCTCTGAAAGAGCGGCCAGTGCTCTTAAGCCTTGAGCCATCTCTCCGCCCCTTTGCAGACTTTTTAAATGATGATATTGCTATATTCCAGATGATGATCTCCCCAGGGAGAAACAGGTGCTCTAGGCTGGCTGACACAGGGAGCCTGGCACTGGGTGGAGCTCCGGGGCTGGGAGGCCTCACTCACCGCGGCTGTGGCAGGTGTATGCAGGTGGATGGCGCACCGCACATCAGGCCTGGCGGCATAGATGGCTGAGTGCAGACTGAAGCCTGTGGTGTCCACTGGGAAGCAACTGCTGCCCTTCTCTACCACCTCTCCCAGAATGTTCACCTTGATCTGGTCAGTGAAGAAGAGAACAGACTCAGAGCGGCAGACCCAGTGTGTCCCCTGCCCATGTCCACCCAGGATGACAGGAGTAATAGCTGGCCTTGGTGTTGGGGGACAGCAACATGGAGGAGGCCTGCTTGCAGTGAATCTTCAGGGGTGATAGGTGGTGGTGATTCTGTAGGGGAAGTGGTGGGGCAGTTTCTCAGACTTTATCATGTGTTACTTCAGGAGCTGCCAATATAGAATCTAAACACAGAGAGGACTCAGCACGCTTAGCATTTTCCTAAATGGTGTCTAGGCTGTGGCCCACAAACCCCACTCCAGTTATGAGCTAGAAGAGAGTCTGTGACAGAATCCTCTAGAAGCAGCTAAGAGGACTCTTGGATGCCAACAGAAACCTTCCCAGAGGAAGTCCTGTCTAAGCTGAGCCATCTCATTTTTGAAACATTGTAATGTACACAAAGGTAAAGAGAATGGTATACTGAACACCTTTTACCAGTCATGGAAAAGGGAAGTATTTAAGGGACTAATAGGAAGAAGTCACTTTCTTAGCCTGCTCTCTACCCTCTACTAGCAGGTGGCTTGGCTAAAAACCATTACATATAGTATGTGTGTAAAGGAGGTGGTAAGGGAGAATGAGGGAGAGAGACAGAGACAAACAGAGTGAGTGTTGGTGGGAGAAAGCACATACATACATGTACACACACACACACATCAAAAATAATGCTTGTGGCTGGCTATGGTGTTCCTACTTAACTATGGATTCACAAAGCATCAACGTCAGGGAAGGCTTTTTGTGGCTGATAAGACAAGGGGCCTCCTGAGTAGGAAAGGGAAGATGTTTCATCCTCAAAGTGTCCCCACCAACCCTCCCAGCACATTGCAAGGCCCACCCCTCAAAGATGCAAATCACCTAGCACAACCCAAATTCTGAGGCAAGGTCTTCTACCATAATGGTTCTCACCCTTCCTCACTGTGTGACCCTTTAATACAGTTTCTCATGTTGTGGTGATCCCCAAACATAAAATTATTTTCCTACTGTTATGAGTTGTAATGTAAATACCTGATATGCAGGATATCTGATATGTGACCCCTGCAAAGGGGCTGTGACCCACAGGTTGAGAACCTCAGTCCTAACACCTTAGTGGTCTGGTCCCCAGGCACCCTGTGTCCCTAGGTTGATTACAATTATACCTTGTTCACTAACAAGTTAGATTTTGGTTTTTTAAAAAATCACCAGCAGTGGTGGTGCACACATTTAATTAACCCCAGCACTCAGGAGACAGAGGCAAGTGGATCTCTGTGACTTGGAAGCCTACTTGGTCTACAGAACAACTAGCGCTATACAGAGAAATCCTGTCTTGAAAAACCAAAAAGAGAAACCACCGTAACTTTGACCCTCTAAGTAGAAGCACCTATGACATCCCAAGTCTAACACACAAGCAGGTCCACAAACGGCCCCATACCCCATTCCCAAAAGTTCACAGACAGAAGAGGGACCAAGGAACAGTGACATCTTGGTGTGGGGAGGGGCACATTATTGGTGCCATGTGCTTAGCTGCACAGGAGCAGCATCCAACAGACCACCGCCTCAAACCTCTATGGAGGGAGTTTTACAGAACGGAACTGGTTTGGAGTGGCCTGATGCTGGCTAGGGGTGACAGCAGTTCCCCCAGCTCATGCTTGTGCTCAATCTGATTCCCCAGTTCCTCAAAGAGGCCCAGTCTGACTTCCCTCCCTGGGAAGGCCCCTCTCTGGCTCATTGCTTTTCTCATTGCTGGGCCTGTGGCTTGTGTCCCAGGAATCTCCACAACATAATAGGCCAGTGAGCATTCCATCCAGTGCCTCCGTCTAGATCAGAAAGCAGGGACTCTGAGGACTGCTTTAGAGACACAGGCTTAGCTTTGGATTCTGCTGCTGTGCCAATTTACAAAAGATGTCAGCTGTGGGGAGTGGTGCTCAGGTGGTCCCACCTCTTCTTTCTGCTTCAGCAACCACATTCTCCTTTGGAGGCATAAGTTGCACATCCATACACAGTCACCCGTGGTCTACCTACACCCCAGATCACCTCAGCCTTCTGGTGACCCCCACAAGACTGTCCATACTCCAGATCACCTTCTGCCTATGATTCCCCCTCAAACCTGCATCTTGGGGTCAGACCCTTCTGAACCTACCACACCCAAACGTCAACTGCTTCTGCCTCAGAGACAGTGCCCACTCTCCCAGCACCTCACATGGTGTGGGAAGTTCTTCTGTATATATGTTGCTTTTGGTTAATGATAAAGCCACTTTGACTTATGGCAGGGCAGAATAGAGAAAGGCAGGAATTCCAAGCAGAGGAGAAAAGAAGGCAGAGAGTTAAAGAGATGCCATGTAGCTGCTGAAGGACAGATGCCAGAGAACCTTATTGGTAAACCACAAGCCTCATGGTGATACATAGGCTAGTAGAAATGGATTAATTCAAGATGTATGATTTAGCTAGAAATATGTATGAGCTAATTGGCCAAGCAGTGTTGTAATTAATATAGTTTCTGTGTGATTATTTAGGGTCTAGGTGGCCAGGAAACGAACGAGCAGCCTCTGACTATACTCATACTCCACACCAGATGCCAGCCCAGCTGATCACAGGCCCACTAAGTATGCACACCCAAAATATCTTTCACAGATCCCAGAAAAAGCACCAAGCATTTGTTCTGATGTCTGCTGGCCTCCACATCTGTCAGGGCAATCTGTGAACAAAAGAAACAGACTTTTGCCTGCACCTTCAGATTCCAAATTGCGAATCTGCACCTTCTAGACTGCAAGTCTCTTGTTCCAATGTGTTCCCATCCAAGGACGCTTTCCTCAGGACATATGCTCTAACCTCTACCCAGAACTCGGGTCACCTCCCATTGCCTCCTCCCTCCACTGGATTTGTTGCCTGCACCCCATCCCATCATGCCTGAGGCACCCACTGTGTCTACGTGTCTTCTCTGCCCAGAGAGAGTGTGAGTTCCACAAGGAATAGGACAGTAGGTTCTGATTCGGAGATGAACCTGTCCCTCCATGGTCACATGGGTCCTGTCGTCTTAGTAAGAGTCAGCACTGAGATGCTGGCTATACTTACCAGGCTAGATGCCGTGACCTCACTGCAGGAAACCCCTTTGGGGCTGATCAGGAAGTGTTCTTGCTCTTTGCTCACTCTCATCTGGGGGAAGAGAGATAAAAAAAAACTCAGGGCCAAGCAGAGAGAAAGAAGAGATGCTTCTAAGGACACTGTTTAAATCCACATCTCCCTGAACTCACTGTCTCAAGGCTTTCTCCAGTGAACCCTCCTCCACTGAGAGGTGAAGAGGTCTGCTCTTTACTAAAGCTGTGCAAATACAAAAATTAGGGACAGCCCTGGATACAGGAGCTGGCTCCCATCCAAAGGGGTACTCACTGGGATTATTCTGTTGATCACAGTGATGAGCGATCTTGGGAGTGGTGAGTGGATTTTAACCAAGGGCCACTAACAGTGCTTGGTCACGCTAAGGGTTAGAAGCCTTCCTTTCAGGTTATGTGGGGGTAGGGGGCTGGGCACAGGGTACCTGCTCCTTACCGTGACATAGGTGTCGCTGAGCTGTGCCCAGCCATAGAGGTCCAGGAGGCGGTAGACACTGCTGATCTTGCACCGCATAAGCCTCTCCCCCTTGGCCAGGTTCAGGGAGTCAGCAGTGTGGAGGTCATTGATGGGCGTCATCATGGAGAAGTCTGCAGGGATGGTAAGGACAGCACATCTCCCTGAGGACAGGAGTCGCTACCAGCCAGCTTGGTACTTGTCCCATGCCCCCTTAGATCTCACTGACTGATGCTGCCACTGTGCACAAAACATTCCCTGCCAGAGCACCAAACAGTCCTCAACTCCCACCTAGAGGAAGAAAGGTTGTAGATTGGCCATTTGTGGCTTACAGAGCCTTCTGCTCAGCTGACTGAAGCTGGTGCTGCTTTGGGCATAGAGCCATGCCAAGAACTGGGGATATACCTTGGCTGGTACAGCACTTGCCCGGCATGTACACATCTCTAGGTTTGATCACTAGCACTACATAGAATATGATGGTACATATCTGTAATCTTAGCATTCACTTAGGAGCTGGAGGCAGGAGGACCAGAAGCTCAAGATTATCCTGGGCTACAAGGAAAATCTTGTTTAAATTTAAGACCAGCCTGGGCTATATGAAACTTTGTCTCAGGGAAACAAACAAGCAAACAATGACAACAACAAAAAAACAAAACAAACAAAAAACCCAAAGCCACGAACAAAATGTACTTGGGATTTCAAAGCTGCCATAAACCCTAAACAGGGGCACTGGGTAAACGTAGGATAAAGTTTCTGAGTGGGAATATGCAGAGGTGGGAGCCCTAGCTTTAGGGGAGAAGCTGCAACTCAGAAGGCTGCCACCTTGTTTCGAGGGACCCTGTGATAGAACTTACTCTGTGACTTGGAAACAGGGCACACAGAAAGCCACATGAGTGAGGAAGAAATGTTCTCAACTCCCCCTGCCCCAGTCATGAAGCCACAGGCCCCAGCCAAGGCTGGCAGACAGCTGCAGTGTCCGCAAGCACACATCTGTTTCTGTTAGGGCATACGCTGCCTTTTCTAGGAATTTGAGGGAATGGCTGGGAAATTTGGAAATGGACCCAAGGGGCTTAAAAATCTTGTCCCCAGAGCACCCCTGATATAGTAGCTGATGGCCAGTCTGAGCCTTAACCATGATGGTCACTGCCCGTGAGCCCCGGGGGATGGGGGCAGAGGAAGGCATACAAGCTAAGGGTCTGGAAAGATCAGCTGTTGAGAGCACACTGCTCTTTCAGGGACTAGAGCTCAAGTCCCAGCACCCGTGTGAGTGTGTACATGTACACACATGCAGACATGCATGAACACACATCAAATCCTTTTTAAAATACACTGGTTAAATAAAAATTATAAAGGTCTTATTGTTATTATCCAACTAGAAGTTGGAAAAAAATAATCTTCTCTTGGGCAAAGACAGCCATTTCAGGTCATTTTTTATGAAGTAAGGTTATACAGTGAAGTTACAGCAACCGTGGATGTTTATATTATGAGTGTTATTTTTCAAAGACTGGTTGGGTATGGTGACACACTTCTGTAATTCCAACTCTCAGAATGTTGAGGTGGGACAGTCAAGGCCAGCCTAGGCTACCCAATGAGACCGCCATCTCAGAACAAACAAAACATGAAGTAAAACATATCCTGAGTACAAGGAGAAACAAAAGCAATGAAATGGACGAGTCAACCTTCACTTTTGACAAAATCTAATGAAAATGGAAATATAGATTAAATGGAGTGTCTTGGAGACTGCCCTTACCCATACATCATTTGAAAATAATTTTATTAGGTTGCAAAAAGCTCTCACTAAATCCTTGGCATGGAACTTAAGCAGGACATGTTTTCTAATTCAATGAAGCCTGACAATAACAGATCTATAGGCCATCAAGCATTCAACTTCTTAGCAATGAGAAAAGACAGCTCACGGGATAAAAATCAGGTCAGTTGGGGCTGCTGCTCGGTATGTGCTTGACGTGTGTACAGCTGTGGTTCAGTGCCAAGCACTATCAAATATAAACAGGACTAAAGCAGCAGCTGCAAACTGTCCATTGCATGAAGACAAGCAATGCTCAGAAGTTCACAGCCTCAAGTGTCTTCAGCACTGAGCTAAATATGAAAATATACCAAATTAATTTTATCATAGAAACCCCCCACAAAAATTAGCCATAGAAAAAGGTCTGGTTAGCTCTTGCCCACCAGATACAAATCTAGACATATCTAGAAAGAGGGAACCTTATCTGAAGAATTGTATCCATTAGACTGACCTACAGGCAATCTGTGGGCACATTTTCTTGCTTAATAATTGATGTGGGAGGGCCCAGCCCATTGTGGGTGGGACCACCCATGGGAGGGTGTGCTTGGGTTGTTCAAGAAAGCAGGCTGAGCAAGCCAGTAAGCAGCACTCCTTTGTAGCCTCTGCTTCAGTTCATATGTCCACATTCCTGCCCTGCTTGAGTTTGTACCTTGACTTCCATCAATGAAGAACTGACATGTAAGCCAAATAAAGCCTTTCCTCTCCAATGCTTTTGGTTGCAGTGTTTATCACAGCAATAGAAAAAAACCAGGACAGAAATGTTGGGAAATATTAAGTACAAAACTAAAGTATGCCAGATGAGGTAATGTCCACCTGTAATCCCAGTGCTTGTGAGGTGAAGGTGAGAGGAGAGAGCTCCTGACCAGTCAAAACTACGTGACTAGACGCTGCTCCCCCTCTTCCCACAAAAGGCTGGGACATAGCTTGATGGTGCAGTGATTACCTAGAACATACAAAGCATTTGATCCCCAATGTTGGAAAAGAAATTAGTAATCAGGAAAAATTTTAGGACCAATAAGTAATCCCAAGAACTGGTGTGTACGACCTATGAGTAAGCAAATGCAAGCTGCTCAGTAAGACAAACTGAGAGCACACTGCCGCAGAAGCCAAGCAGGTGCCATCTCAAAAAGCCAACAATGAAAAGAATATTGTAAGTCACTTGGTTTTAAAGAGAATTCATTGAAATAGATAATTTCATATAAAATATGTGATCAAAATTTAATGACACAGCAGCAAAATAAAAATTTAAAATTCCCTAAACTGGAGGTGAACGTCAAGAATCTCCGAAAATTTTCCAGATCTGGATGACTTTGCAAGTGAGCTGCAAACCTTCAAGGGTGATTTTCCTGCCTTGTTTAAACTCCACCAGGGAAGGACAAAGGTGGATCTCCCTGGTTTGTGTTAAAAAGTCATGGCTAAATGCCCTGGAAGTGGACTGCTCAACCTCACATGGGAATATGTGTACACAAATCCTTAACAGAATTCTGACAATAAAACTCAGGAGAGAATTTCTAAAACAATGCATCAGAGGAAGAAACTAGGGTCAAGGAGATGGCTTAGTTGGTAAGCACTTGCCACCCAAACAGGAGGACCTCTCTGCTCGTCACTAGAACCCACTTTTTTTTTTTTTTAAAAAAAGGCAAATATGTTGGGACACATTTGTAATCCCAGCACTGGGGAATGGAGACAGGAAGAGCAATAGAGAAGAGCAGCCAGCCTAGCTGACTTAGGCTATGAGAGACTCTGCCTCAAAGATGTGGTGAGCTACTCCCGAAGACCAAATCCTAAGGTTAAACTCTGGTCTTCACAGGCATGTGTGCTTACATGGGAACTTGTACACACACACACACACACACACACACACACACACACACACACCAGAGATGGTTTATTTCATGTATTTCAAAAGAGCCCAATATTTAGAGATCTATCATATAACTCATTGTGGCAGTAGTTCAAGGGGGAATAAAAAGGAATCAATGCCCCAAATGCATTTTATAAAACTCAAATTCTATTTCTGAGAAAGGTCTACGATGGACTAGAAGTAAAAGACATTTTCTCAACATGACAAAGAATAATGATCTCAAACTTTGTGGTTAAAGAATTCCAGTAAAGTCAGATGCGAGACAAGGATGCCCATTCTCTAAATTATTAAGCACCGTTCTAAAGCCTGATGGGATAAAACCAGAAAACTAGAAAAAATAAGGCCAAGGGCAAAATGCTGGTAGAGGGAGGCAAAATGACAATGTTTGTAGATTATTTGATTGTCTATATCCAAAATGCAAGGCCAGTCAGATGGTTCAATGGGTAAAAATGCTGGCCACCAAGGGCCTCACAATGCAGGAGGAGACAACCAACTGCTGTAGGGGGCCTTCTGACCTCCATACTCATGCTATAGCATATAAATATTCACACACATACATGTTTGTGTACACACTCACACAATGAATAAAAAACATGTTTTTAAAAGCAGAAGAATATGTATGTGTACTCAAGAAAAAAATTTAATAGTCATTTGTGACAATGAAGTTATATATTATTTCCTGGATGGGCTTAAGACACAGTCAGATTGTATAGAAATAACTTGTAAGATTTCCTGGTAGATATTATAGAACCAGCAGAAAACATATCTTGTTTCTGAAGATCCTAAATCAATTCTTGAAAATACTGTTAAATTACCTCCCACATGCTAGGTACAGTGTTCTAAGAACCAACCACACACACATCTCCCCCATGGAGGCTATATTTTAAAATAAAAATTAATAATTTCAATCCCTCTACCAAATCAATCCCAATCAAAATCACCAAAGGACTATTTTAAGGTATAGGAGAATAGAGCTTGACAAAATAACTCCAAAATTACTTTATAGACTACATTTGTACAAGAGGTTAAGATAATTGGTGACTAATTACAGCCCTTTGTCTTATTGTCTAGGCACGGGGCCAGGAGCAGAAGACACAAAGGAAAGCAGAGGGTTCTGCTCTGTGAGAAAATACTCTACACAACGTGAAAAATGCTGTGATCGAAGTTAAAAGGCAAAGGAGAAACTAGAAAAAAAACCTAATATATTTGACATGTCATAGGGAAGCAGCATTAATTTATAAAGATTTGAAAACTCATACAAAATACAGTAATAGGAAAATTGGAAAAGTATGAGATAAACATTTTATTATAATAAAAAACCCTACAGATGAAGTTTTTGGTACAGCCTGCCTCAGGGGAAAGGAAATGGTAGCAGTCTAAGACAAGGTTGAGGAAGGGCAATGCCCACCACATTCTGTTGAGGGCAAGGTTGGCACAACTTCTTTCTCCAGGATGGCAAAGGGACACAATCTGCATTATGCATATGTCTTCAAACACATATTTGCATTCCTCTAGCAATTTGTCTTTGGAAGACAGTTCCGCTATTTCATTATAATTTATCTTTCTCATTATAATTTATCTTTCTCATTATAATTTATCTTTCTCATTATAATTTATCTTTAAAAGATAGTTGTGCATATAGCACCAAATTTATTTACCAGTATGTTTACCACATTGTAGTTAATAATATCAAAAAGTTGAATACAATCTAAAAATCTAATAGGGAACAATCAACTCAATGGCTTGCAACCACAAAAAATATTGCAGAACCATATTTATGATGCAAAATTGAGTTGATATGCCATTAAAATTATATGTGTAATATGATTGCATTCTTTATTTCAATAAGATATCTATAGTAAAAGAAAAAGTTGGAAAGATACATCAAAATATTGCTAACAGTGATTTTGGAGTTCTCAGAACACAGTCGAGTGGGTTTTAGCTTCTCTTTCTCTAATGTTTTCCTTAGCTCTAGCCATCACCCTATACATCTGAGTCATATGGAGCAAGGTCAGCTTCGAGGCTGTGGGCAGAACTGCACATTCCAGGAAAGGAGCCCACACATAGCCATAGCTCCTCTACTGCCCAATAGCCACCATTCTGGCTGGTCTCCTGGTTCCACGCATCTCTTCTCATCCCCTGAAGTTGCCTCTACCCTTCCAGATGATTCTCCTGTGGGTCTTTAATTCACAGGAACGTCAGAAGTAGAGCCAAGCATCTCTCTGCCCAGACCTGCTAATGCAATGGCAGCTTGGCCATTGCCTAGCAACCAAGCAGCTTCTGGTGCTTCCTCCTCCTTTCCCTACCTCATCCCTCCTCCCCCACTCCTGGCAGATACCCAGACACCCACATACTCATGGAAGAAGCTGGGAAGACTGCGTGGGAGGTGCTGGCCATGAAGTCCGCAATCTGTCGTAGCGCCCAGATGTTGGATGAATTGTTGCCTTTCTTCATCTGTTCCTGGATGAGACCTTCCAGCTCTTCCCTGAAAGACTGCAGCAGGCGGAGGGGTTGGAGCCCAGTTCTCATGGAGAGCTGAGGGCCCAGCAGGTCCTCACAAGAGGCTGCAGGCCCAGCAGGTCCCTAGGGATTGGTGCCCAGCTCCCCACAGGAGGACTGAGGACCCTGCAGATCCCTAGAAGCTGAGAGCACAGAAAACCCTGGGGGGCTGGTCCCTGAACACTTCACAGGGGATGATCTCAACCCACTCCCGTCCTGTAGCTCCTCACAAGAGAACAGCTCCTGTAGGTCTCCAGGAGATTGGTCTTCCAGCTCTTCAGTAAGGGCTAAGAACCCTGAAGGTTCCCCAGAAGCAGGTTCACTAGGCCCTCAGGTTGCTGTATAGGTTATTAAGGAGGCTCTGGGGGTGGACCTATGCCCTCATTTTCTGTGGGGGTAGTCCAGATTCTGGCTCCCTTCTATATGAGTGATAGCCAAGGCCATACCAGGCATGGTAGGACTTCACTATAGATAGAATTAACTGAATGAGAAAGTATACCACCCCCCTTCCCCATTAGCACATCCAGGGCTCCCCTCATACATCTGTTTCTCGGCATTCTTAGTGCTTGCATAGGAGGAGATGGAGAAGGACTGGAGGATTTCTGCAGTGCCTCCACTGTGATGCACTATGCTAAGCTCAGGTTTTCAGTTCCCTACACTGGGAACTTAGCTGCTGGCCAGGTGGTAGGAGGAAACATGGGAGGAACAGGAAGCTGTATGATACTGAGGATCCTCTTAACAGGGGCCAGGAAGCAAGGCTCCTGCATCCCCATATCCTGCCTCACCCACCAGCCAGGGCTAGTGATGCTCTACCCCTCCATCCCTCCTGGTGACTCTCTGCATGTCTGGGGGTTGCCTCACCCCAAGGTCTTTAAGAACCGGATGTCTTCCTCCAGGATCCTGACACAGTGTCACAAACACCCTAGGCTCATTCCTTCCCATTCCTCCGAGCAGTCTGTGCGCTCCTGCTGAAAACTGCCCACAGACTATGGGATGCCCTGTTCCAAAAGGCCCTGGAGAAGTCAGCTTCCTCCTTGAACTTCCCAGCCTATGTCCTATCCTCCTCCCTCCCCTGCTCTTCTTTCCTATCCCGAGGCCAAAAGCACTCTTAGCTCCTCAGCCATGCATCTTTCAGTGTACTGCCTGCCTAGGGAATGAGCTCTGAGGCCCTGCAGCCTGGCACCAATCCACCCAGGTCTGTAGACTCAGGGGCATCTAAGTCAGCTTGGCTTCTATCCCATTTTTCCTCTTAACTACCTTCCTCAGCCCTGGCTGGACATTCAGACTCTACTCTCCCTACAGTGAGCAGGATACTCTATGCTACTCAGCCAAGGGTACCCTAGGCCAGGCCATGGCAACCCATCTTTCAGTTTACACAGTCCTATCTGCTGCCTGTTGCAGGAAAGGAGGACTGGAAACAGAAGCTCAGATGTGGCAGAGGAAACTGGGGAAGGGGTCTTATCTCTGCCACTTTCAGAAGCAGAGTTTATGCATGCCCCCAAGTTTGTCCTTGGCCAGTGGTTAGGGAGGCAATCTAACACCCACATGGCCAGGCCCATCTTGTTCAGCAGGCCTAAGCTGGCAAGACCCTGAATGAGGGAAGAGGAGCCACAGGGGAAACCATCCCTCTAGGCCCTGCCCACTCACAGGGCTCTGCAGGATCATGGTGACCCTCTTCTTCTGCTCCATCAGGTTGAAGTCCTGCCGCAGGTCAGCCGCACGGTTGCGAAGGCGCAGGTATTCAGGGTCATCCTCAGAGAACCGGTCAAAGTAGTGCTGCCCTTGGGAGGGTGGAGGCGAGGTCGCCTCAGGGACTGTGTCCTCACTCATGTTCCTGCGAGGGCTTCAACTTACTCCTGGAACCCTGTAGAAGAGGGACAGGTGAGCACGGACTGTACTCCTAGTGGCCAGCTGGTTTCAGAGGCAAAGGGTGTGATCCACCATGCCCTGTTCCAGGTAGAAGGCAGGCTGCCTCCTAGGATGATGACCCATAGGGGCTGCTAAATGCACCATCGGGGTTGTGCAAATAGGGGTCCTGATGAACTGGTCACACCGGAGTGTTAGAGGAGGCTTCCTGGGTGGAGTGGAAATATAGCCTGCAAACCTTTCAGAGTCCTTCTGTGCTGAGCCCTTACAGAGTAGGGCAGCAGCTGCGGTGGTACCCATGGCACTTCAGTAAAGGCTGACCTCACTGTAGTGGGCGGGAGTGTGGTTCATAGTGAACAGCACTTGCCTAGCACATCTAGGCACTGGCTGGGCTCCTCGCCCAACATTGTGGACAAATTATATAAATAATTTTTGTAGGTCTCTTCAAAAGCTATGGTCGAGAAATTCACAAAAGAACACTACTGCCAGGAACCAGGATATAGCTCAGTTGGGAGATTTCTTGCCTAGTATGCTCCAGGAGTTGGATTTTTCCCGCTCCTCACAAACAAACAGGGTATGGGGACACATACCTACACAATCCCAGTATTCAGGAGGTAGAAACGGGAGACTCAGGCTTCAAAGTAATCATTAGTTATAAACAGAAAGTTCAAGTCCAGCCTGAGATACATGAAAGGCCCTGCAATGGGTACCATCTGACTGATCCTACTGCTCAGATGTTTGGTAACAAGAGATGGGGGATGAAGGACTGGGGTTAGGAAAGAATGGAGAGGAGGAGGAAGGGAGAGAGGAGAGAAAAATCTTAAAATTCTAAAAGAGAGTTGGCAGCGTGCAAGTCAACGCAGAGTACTTGGGGACGTCTGAGCAGATTTGTCCATCTCACCTGAGTCAGGACTATCTGGCTTTGGGCTTTTCTAAGCCATAGTCATCTACAAACTTCAAACTTGAGAATATCACAACTGAGTTACACCAAAGAAGCAAAATAAAATCTCACAGTGTTTTAAATGAGTTTATGGTTTTGTAGTGGGCCTGTCCATAGCTGTTATGAGCCTCATTTATACTTTAAATGGAGAGAGGGTCCTGAGGCTGGGCCATTTCTGGTGAGTAGGTCTGGACTAAAGCCAGACACTGGTACTTTGAACAGCTCTGACCCTTGACACCTGCGAGGACACAGGGGTCCCTTTTCCTCTTTGCCTCACTTTATCTGTCTCACATTGAGGGGAGAACAGAATGGCATTGGGCTTCCTTCCAGCGCAGACCATACATGGCTGTGGAAGGTGGAGCCAGATCCACGTAGGAGAGACGGAAGGATGGAGGATCTGGATGTCCTGGGACAAGGGAATTTCCTGCCAATCCAGCCCTGGAGGTCACTGTGCCTCCATTCTGCTCCCCATCCAGCTCATCCCTGGGCCTTGCAGGTAAGAAAGAACTGGAAAACAGGTGCAGAGGACACATCCCATCCGAGTTGTGAAGGCTTGCATGAGGCAGCAGATTTTCTGGGTTGTATCCAGAAGTTCTCCCATGGGTTCTGCCTACTCGGCTGCCACTGCTCTACCTGGTACCACAGTAGCAAACCAATCTCCATAGCACTTTCAAAGCCCTGAGCCTTGGGTGCTTTCAAAGTGGAAGCAAGCACCTCTGGGATGATCATGGACATGTGAACTACATACACCCAACACACACCCTCCTAGGACTCTAGGCCACCAGTTCCAGAAGTACCAAGATTCCTGTTTCCCTGGGCTTGCGGGTGCTGTGGCCCAGCACAGCTGGTTCTGAGCTCTCCTGAGTTAGGTCCATTCTGTCTAGCAGAAAGACACTGGTCCTCTCATCTCCACTGCAGAGCAGCTGCCCTGCCACGTCTGGCGGCTCGCTGGCTATCTTCCCTGCTCAGGGCTCAGTCCATGGTTCCAGATGTGCTCCCATGAGCATGGCTCTAACTCTGTCTCCAGGGAACTGGGATTCTGTGAAAGTGGGGCACCTTTTTTGTAATCCCCTTCCACAGTGCTGGTGGTGAGCAGGTACCTGAAGATGGCTCAGTGGGTAAAGGTAGCAATGCTGAAACAAAACCATCTGGGTTCAAATCTCAGCAATGTCACTTAGAAGCTGTGTGGTCTTTGGCCAGTTCACCTAACCACTGAGCATCAGTTAAGGGATAGTAAAGTTTGTTATGTGAACACTTAAGACATGGTACCTAGCCATTGTGATCAAGTCTTTAGTCGCTCTGGGTGTCTCTGAGGGGGTGTAATCTCTCATTAGGAACTTCCTGAGGAAAGGCAGGGATTCATTTGTAAGCAGGTGCACACTAAGTAACCATAATGGTGTGTTTCAGCCCAAGAAGCCAATTCAGTCTTTAACTCTATTAACACAAGGGACGTAGAAAGGAAAACGATGCATCAGCCCAGAGATCACTGGGCTAGCTGTGATGGAGGCGAGATTCTGGGATGCTGCCCCAGTTCCTGCCCCAAGATTCAAAACTTCTCTGGAATTTGTTAAATGTCCCAAAGATTTTTTGTTACTCATCATGTGCTCCTTTCAAGGAAGCTAGAGTTTGTGCTTTAAAAAAGGTGAGTGCTCTGAGCCCTTAGCGAGCTCCCAGGAGAGTCTGGTTACCCCGAAAGAACAGACATGGAACACAATTAGAAGTTAAGAGCTTCTGCTTCATGCCATAAACACGCATACACATTCTCACATTCATGTTCTCACTCTCTCTCCCCCTGGTTCTCCTTTCCTCCTACAGGTCGGGTCCCATTAAAAGACAAATGATCCACGCCTTTGCACTAAGCTCCCTCTGTATGCTGGGGCTTACACCCCTGTGGGTAGTGGGAGACTGCAGACATCAGATTTTCATGGGAGCACGAGAAAGGATGCCCCACCATCAGGAGCAGCTGATAAGGGAGGAGGGGGCACTGGCTGACATTGTTTCCTCTGAGCTAGTGTCTCTGGATACTGCAGAGGGCTTCTGCACTCCTAGGGATGGGACCTGGTGTGGAGCTAAAAATATTCTATGTAGTTCCTAGTCAGATACTGGAGTTCAGAGGAAAGACTTGAGTGTCTAGAGTGTCTCCCTCAGTCAACTTCCACCATGGCCTCCAAAAGCCACCGACCACTTACCAGTGGGCTGAACCAGGCCTGTCCAATGTCTGTCTTCAGTACTGGATCTTCACAACTAGGAGGGCTGGCACAGCCACACGTCACACAGCCAAGTGGGAACTGCAAACAAAAGGGCAGACATCAGTACCATTCCACACTTACCGCCACTGAGGTTCTTCATCTGACTTAGCCACAGATGCTAGGATGCACTTAAAAATGATCTGGAGATGATTGTTTTAAAGTTAGGCATGACTATCAATAGGTTAGAAGGCTCCTGTTGCCTTTATAACTGGATAAAAACTTTCTTTAAGACCCTATTTTCTAGGTGCAGGTTGAGGGAGAAGGGAGGAAAGGAAGGAGTCAAAGCACACAGGAAAGAAGGAAGGGAGGAAGGAAGGCCTAAAGAGGAGAGGAAGAAAGCAGAGGAGGAAGAGTGGAAATAGAAGAAAGGAGAAAAGGAGTAGGGAACAAGGAAGACTGGAAGAGGAGGAAGGGGAGAGGTAAAAAGGAAAAGGAAGAGGCAGAGGGAGAAGAGGCAGAAGGAAGAGGAGGTAGCAACTGCAGTTGCTCTGGGAGTGGGAGAATCAGAGTACGGTGCCAGGAGAAAGGACTCCTGCCCAAGACCTCCTCAAATGCTCCACTAACAGTCACTGGACTGACAGGTGCTGGGGGAGGAATCCTCAGATTCCTCCCCAGAGACAGAAACAGCCTGAAGGATACCACACCCCAGGAAAGTGGGGGAGCCTAGGACTGGAAATAACTTCACATAGAATGCAAAGTAGGAATGGAGCCAGTCAGGACTGGGCAGGTGGACCATCTAAAGGGGAAAGCTGCTGACATCCAACAGACACAGAGAAGTCACGCCTGCAAAAACCCTCTATTCCCATCTTGCTCTGAAGCTGCTCATCATCCTTGGGGACAGTGGGGTCTTCTGGGAACATCTCCTCCTGTGCCTCCTCCTGAGACGCCAGTGTCTTCCTTCTGGGGAATCTGTCCAATCAATCCAGCTGTCACTTTCTGCTTTCATTCATCTCGCAACCCAACAGTGGCAGCCACTGCCCAGAGTGCCTGGCAGGGGAACACGTTGTGTTTTTGATGTTTCTCTGTTCTAGGTGTTGCACAGGACTGATGTAATGTAGGTGCTGGATAAATGCTAAGTGTCTAAGCAAACATTTGACTAATGGCGCACTGGGAAGCAGGGTCAGTTCAACAAAGCATCACCAGGTTCATCCAGGCCCCCAGGCCCTAAGGACAAGGAAGACCTGAGGGGAGCTCAGAGCACACAGTGGAAAGACAGACGCCAGGCAGATCCTTACAGAGAAAGGTGACAGGTACCCTGAGAACTAAGTCACAACCTTAGAAACACCGTGCTCTTTTGACGTACAGCCCAGAGGCTGACCCTTAGGCCAGTCTGAAACAGACTTCAGCAATTTCCTGCCACTTCAGTGGGTGTCTCTGGACCAGGACAGTCAGTCAGTCGTAGGCTCTGTACACATGGCCTAAATAGTCACGAGCTGTCCTTCCCCTTCTGGTCACCCCTGTCACAGGCCCAGTTGCCCGGAATCCCAGGTCAGCTCTGAGCAAGGCCGGCCGCAGGCACTTGATGAAAGTCTCAGGTGTGACATCAGAACTGACAATAGCATATCCTTAATTCTTCCAAACAAGCCAAAGTTCACATGTAACACTGACCCCAGGGGTCCAAGAAGCAGGTAATGTCACACCACACTACGTCACAACCCACAGTCCTCTCACTTTCCAATAGCCCCTTACCCCAGTTTTGTCTCCCATAGGACCTTTGCTGTCTGCACGGGAAGCCCTGGAGCCCTGGATGCTCCTCTAGCTGTGGCCAGATCTTTGCCCTCCACAGCTCCAGGTCCTAGGAGGCTGGAGTCACAACTGTGTTGCAAGTCACTGCCGAGGGCATTTTTCTCCCTGTCTCACTAAGAGTAAATCCCAGAGGTCCCTGGAGGGTGCACTGGCTCCCTGAGGCTGGAAAGAACAAAATAGACACAGGGAGAACCCACATAGCAAGATATTGATAAAATCTAAAGATTAAGCCTTGTGTGCCTTAAGAGATGGGTGACTGTCTCCTGCCACTTCAGTGGGGTGTCTCCAGATCAGAACAGTCAGTCATGCTTGGCACACAGAACCTAAACAGCCATGAGCTGCCCTCACCCGGCTGGTCACCTCTATCACAGGCTCAGATGCCTGTTCCCTTCCAGGTCAGTTACGGGCATGGCAGCCACAGGCTCTTGCTGCAGGCCTCACACATGGCATCAGAACCCACACTCACCTATCACCGATCCTTGACTCCCACAAGTAGAAGAGGCAGCGGCTGTGGCCCTGCTGCTTTTATACAGAATAGATGTGGGCAGTTAAATAAGAGACTCAGCCACACCCTGCCTGCCATGTTCAGATAAAGGCAGGATCGTGGGGACACTTATCACCACGCCTCACACCACATGATTCCACATTCTTCCATGTTCTGCCTCGTATAATAACCACTGTGGTCACGTAGAACCAAAGGCCTTTTAAAAGAAGAAAAAGAGGAGGAAGGGAAAAGGTGGTAAAATTGATGTCAGTCTCCTGAAACCCTGCTGGCTGGAAAAAGCTCTTCGCTGCTGCCTGCCGTGGGTGCACCCAAGTACTGATTCCTGGGTACTTCTGATGCATGCTCTTTCTAGAGAGGCCCAGGAGATGTTAAAAGCTTATGGCTAAGGACCTCACCCCTAAGAGGCTAGTAGGTAAGTTTCCCATCCACCCATTGCTCTAAATGACAGCTCCCATCAACCCATGTGGCTGTGAATGACAGCCACGGGGCAGACTCACTTTGTGTCTTCTCACTGCATTTGGACTGGTTGTGAGCTTCAGGGGCCGGGGTATCAGAAACTGGAACTGATACCAGAACAAGATACCTGGGAGAGAGAGATATCTCCCAGCCATCCAGGGAGCCATAGGCAGGCTCTGTTCATTGAAGATGAGGGGGCATATAACACAGTGAAGCAGACGTGTATGCAGACACATAGTCAACTGGCCATCTTGATTCAGGGCCTGGAAATGAAGGCCAGGCCTGACCTGAAACAGATCATGGTCAGCGCTTCTAGAGACAGAGTGCTGGAACCTTTGGGTTCACATTTATGAGAGCTGAGGTCTTGACTTAGATTTTAATGACAGATATCATTCAGTGCACAGAGCTGTGAAATTTAGCAGCTGCTTGGGTTGAGTCAGGCATTCTCCCCAGCCCTACAATGAAGAGCCAGCATCTTGGTTTTCCAGGCAGGGAACTGAGGCCTTGGGGACTAGTTTTGGGACTCTGAGCTGGTCAAGAATAGAGCATGGGTTTCTCAAACATCTGATTGACAACTTGTCTCTTTGCCCCCCCACTCCCCGCCTCAAATGAAGGTGAGCAGATGCCACAGGCCAGATAGAATGGTGGTGGCTGTGGCGGTGGTGGTGGTGGTATGACAGGAACATGGAAATCAGCCAATGGCCAGAGTCCAGGCCTTGTATCCATAACAGAAGCATCCAGCCTGGGGAGCAGAGTCTGATTCCTGCTCCCAGCAAACAGACTCAGAACTGAGCTGGCCCCATCTTAGGAAGAAGTGGCCATTAGGAGGCAGGGGTCAGAGAAGCAGCTCTAGTACTCACTTTGGCAAGCTGGGCTGCAGGGTGGCAGGTGGCTATAGGTCACCTACACATACTATTGTGCCTGCTGGGTCACTAAAGTAGCTCTGGGCTCTGCTGGTCCTGACCTCAAAGGCAGTTCCTCTCACAAAATACCCACCACGTGCAGGACCCTGCCCCACTGCTGGAGATGTGAGTGGCAGAATCCCCAGTTCCTGCTCTCAGAAGAACTTCTCAGGGTGAGGGCCATTACATCCTCGGTGGTGTGGAGGAGAACAGTTCTCAGCATGGAAGCTATGTAGTTTCCAACACTGAGGCTTCAACACTGGGCCTTAACACACATGATAGGTAGCTCTGCTACTGAGCCCCAAACCAAGAGGCTTTCATGTGTTTATGAGGGGAAAGAGAGACATGTAGAAAGCTCTGGGTTTGCAGAGACTGAAAGGAATGAGCAGACTGGCTGGGTCTGACTTTCTACCCAGGATCCCTCCAGGGAAAAGCTCTGCTACCTTGGGAACTATGCAGATAGCTACAGAGGCAGAGTGTCCTCTGAGTCATCTTTTCTCACCTCTGCTGTCTGGCCATCCACCAGGCCCTAGGAGGTAGTCACCCTGTCTATCCTTCACATTCAGGCATGAGTGCTAAAGCCCAGTGAAGTTCACCTTCAAAACATTCAACCCGACTAAGTGCAAACATCCCAGCATTCTTATGTTTGGTCTAAGGTGACAGTGCTGCCTGAGGTCCTGTCTCCTGTCCTCCTGCTCCCAGCCAAGAGTTCCCAGGAACAACTGCCCATGATGTCTTCTACCATGAACACAGCAATAAACCCTTGGCCACTAGAAGTAGAAATAAACACTCATTTAATACATGAGGTAAATTATTTTTTTAATTAGGGTGTGTCAATGGGTGGTGTTTTGTTTTCACCAATTGGACACAAGGGAAAATTATATAAACACCTTTAAGAGGTGAAAGGTTTGAAGATCATGGGAGTGTGCTATTAAAGAGGATTGTCCTCTTTTTTACTCCCAGCCATGAGGTGGGCAGACTCCTTCATCATGGGCTCATACCATGGTGTACCCTGCTGTCACAGCCCCAAAGTAATGGGACCATTCAGCCATGGAATAAATCCCTGACAACTGTGACCAAAATTATTTGTTCTCGTTTTCAACCTGCCTAACACTTACGAAGCATCCAGGTGTGTTATCCTTGTCCTTTCTCTAAAGGAGTCATCCTTGCAGGATGCAGAGGACCAGAGGAAACAGTCTGGGCAATGGATGTAGCTCACTAAATGGAAGGCAGACCTCAGAGCAACTGATTAGAGTTTCTGAGCCTGTTTCAGCAGGCACCCTTCTCTTACATAATTCCTTATTTCTCTGAGACTATTGCCTGTAAAATCTAGGCTTCTACTTCCATCCCACTGCACTGACTGTGGGGTCTGAGACAGGGTTTCTCTGTGGCTTTGGTGCCTGTCCTGAAACTGGCTCTTGTAGACCAGGCTGACCTCAAACTCTCAAAGATCTGTCTGCCTCTGCCTCCCGAGTGCTGGGATTAAAGGCATGAGACACTGCCGCCTGACTGTGGGGTCCCTTTAGGACACTAAAGTGTGGGATCTCCTGTCCTTGTTTGTCCTCTTCCTGGTTGTGGCACTGATATTTTCCTAGTCATCTCAATGCCCCTCAAGACACTTTTGCTTTCCTTTTACCATAATTTCAGATAAGGTAAAAATCAAGTCCCCCAATGCAACCTTGGGGGGAAATAGCTTCTAGAAAATGTTATCAGGAAACCACATGACTTCTGGGTATGAGTGTAATGTTCACATAATTATCTCAATCTTTCCCTTCTGGGAATGAATGTGATGTTCACAATGATCTCAACCTTCTACCTCCCAGGCAGTTTCTGCTCTAACAAGGCCACCTTGGGTTAGAGACTTTAAAGCCTAAGTGTGAGTGAGCTAGCCCACCCCCTCCTAGCTTAAAAATTTCAATTCAACTAAGCTCATTTATAGTGATGGGGAGGGGGGGGTGAGCTCCTAGCAGCAGATTCAACAACCAGTTGAGGCCACAAATCTTAAAATATGATCTCTCATCTTCCATCTTAACTTCCCCAAAGGCCATAAAACCACTGACAAAAGGAAGAAGCTAGAGGTCATGATAGGAGGACCAAGTGGCAGATGCTGCCATCCAGTCAGCCTCGCTCTCAGGACACCTCCTGTTCGAGAGAATGACACAGGCGTGAGTCACACAGGCGGGCACAGAAGCTAGTCTCCAAAGCGGGGGTTGGAGGTAGGGATGGGATGTAGGGGAGGCATCAAATCTGGTATTAGGATAAGCTCTAAAAATAACCATCAGCACCACCATGTTCATCTAAACCACAGCCTAAAAGAGGAAGCACCCTGGGTTATAAATTACCTTTGGTTAGAAGACACATCCCAGTTCTCAGATTATTTAAATGAAGGGAAGCGTGTCTTAGAATAGATAAAGTTTGGGAACCCAAGTTATAAGTCAGTGTTGCTGGAGCTGTGGAGATGGCTTGGGAGTTAAAAGCGCTTGCCTCCCAAGCATGAAAACCAAAGATCAGACTCCCAGATTCCAGTAAATGTTATTGTTTGTGGGTGGCCAGCCATATGTAATTCAAGCCTTGAAAGACAGAGACCAATTCCCCAAAGCAAGCTGGCTATGTGAGAAGCCATATCAGTGAGCTCTACATTTGACTAAGTGATCCTGTTCAATAAATGAGGTGGAAGAGCGATTAAGGATAGTTTTCAACATCAATATTGGGTCTCCTGAGCATGCCTACACATACCTACACATGTACAAACACATATACTATAAAGAAATTAATGTCATCCTATCCTCATGGTAGGGAGCATGTCCTTGCCAGGTGAACAAATTAAGAGATGCCAAAGAGAAAACAGCCCACGAGGCCTGAGCAGCCTTATAAGCATGCATGGGTGCCTCTCTGTCAATGCCTGCTTCTGCCTAATACTGCATCCTGAAGTCAAGGACATGGGCAGGCTTAATGTCCCAGCTCCCACACAGGTTTTGCTTATCTGTTTTCTGATGAGAAAGCCACTTCCTCTTCTATAAAACAGCACGCACCACAACGTCACAGGTGAGGAGAGCCTAGTGCGAGATGAAAGAGGAGACTTCACCACCCTGATCTCTGATTTGATGAGCTGATGAAAACACTAAAGAGCTAGAGACACTGCTCCCTGGAATGCATAGGGCCCTGGGTTCTCTCCTCTCTCTCTCTCTCTCTCTCTCTCTCTCTCTCTCTCTCTCTCTCTCTCTCTCTCTCTCTCTCCCCCTCCCCCCACACACACACACACACACACACACACACACACAGACACAAGAGGGGGGAGGGAGGGAGAGACAAATAGACAGAGAAATGGGGATGGGTGGAGGGGAGACCAGCATGTAGCAGATGTTCAATAGGGGCGGTTAATATTCCAAATTTCTCTGGGATTCATTTCCAGCCTGCATATTCCCAACTTTGGGGAAAGAACAAAGAAAATGAGGAGCACTAGAGGGCAGTAAACAGTTCTAAAGCATTCCAAACTGTCTTTCTTCAGGAAGAATGTTGGCATCACTGTGACAGTGTGGCCGTCCTGAGGATACTCTGGAGATCTTCTCTTTGGCTAGAAGACTGTTGGCATTTCCCCAGGGACATCATGTTGTGAGAAGGAAAAGCCTGGATGAAGTCAGCCAGAGGAGTTTATCCTCTGCAAAGGGAGTGTGCACCGTGCCTGCAACTTGTCAGACCCCCTTGTAGGAGA